TAGGATTCAGAATCCAGCAGTCTGATTGGTCCTAGAACAATAGGATTCAGAATGCAGCAGTCTGATTGGGCCACAGGAGCCACCCAATCCAGCTCCAGGTGGAAGTGAATCCGCAACCTGATTGGCCTACAGGAGAATCCTGGAATTAGCCAATCACGTGGGGCCCATTGTGTAAATAATGTATGTAAAGCAGACATTCTGGGGGAACTTCCATTCCTCCTCACCACTATGAGCTGAATAAAGAGCATGAAATCCACTCTCGACTCTGAGTATATTTCAATGCAGAAACCACCTTATTGATCATTGAACTCCCTATTGGTCTTGTATCTTCAATCCACGGGAGCCTGTCTTTGCATGCAGAAGAAGACCATTAATAGGCAGCAGTCTACTAACGTTTGCCTAGTTTAATCAGAGTAGCAATTAGAGCGTTTGAGAAGGAGGGGGATATTTCCTAGTGTGCGTGGAAGGGAATCCCTTAATAGCCACATTCCTTCAAGGCTATTTGTTGCTGTCAACTATTGCTTCATCTGCAGCTTTTTGCCCCACTTTTATTTCCTGGGTGGATCTCCTTCCTCTTTCCCAACCAATCAGGGATCACAATATGACCATGATAACATTCTAAATTGTGTTACAGATAATACTCTTATCGTGTTACGTCTTGTGGGTGCTTTGCTCTTCTCAGGAGGCTTGTGTGGAACGAGGGCCTGTCAGAAAACCCCACATTCTGCAGAGACTGGATCCGACGGGGAGAACCTCCAGAATGGATCCAGTCCAAGCAGAGCCTTCAGATTTAAAAGGCACCAAACACAAGCCTCGATTGTCAAGGAAAAACCAGGAATGTACTTTCTGCCTGCCAATTTTTACTCCGTAGGTGAGCTTTCACTTGTACCACACCTGACGTCATATGATCCCAGCCAATCAGGGAACATATGGTGTCAGGTGGCTTGGGGGAAAACAGCCACAAGGGCTAAATTGGGACTCGCCTGTGGGCTGGAGGTCTCCCATGTCTGCTCTACAATTTCATCTTCAGCCCCTCCATCTCCCGCAGCCTCCGAAAGAAGATTGGGTGGCGATTTCTGGCCTGAAAGGGTGGTTTGCCCTTTCAACACAGCACTCACTTTTTGAACAGACTCTTCAGCAAAACTCACCTCTCCACAGATATATTGCTACTGGCAAATCTTGATGCTCATGTCTTCGAACCTGTCCACAGCTCATTTGCTGACACGCAGAGTGGGAGATTGCTAGAAGTACTTTTGCTTGTTTGTTTTGACAAAGGAGTTAGGCAGAGAGGCAAGAGAACCACAACAGTGAGGAATATATTGATCCAGATAACGCTGAGAGCCATTCGCTCTTGGAGGGGTGATGAGGTCTCTTCTTCTGCTGTGGGCCAAATCTGGCCCTTCTCTTGTGAGTGGCAGGGACTTTTGTCACTCCAGATGGCCTGGGAGCAGAGAGAAAGGAATACTAGTGCACAGAGACCAACAGGTTGTCGTTTTCTTAAAATCTCTCTCTTTTTTAATATAAAATTTTTATTAAGGTTTTTACAATACAAAATAGAAAAAGGAAAAGGAAAAAGCACAAAATAAAAACAGTTAAAAACAATCAATCTTTTCTTCACATTATTTTTCATTTACTTATTTCTCGGACCTCCTCATACCTCCCTCTTTTGTATTCTAATTCAATTTATTAGCTCAGCAGTTTCTTCCCCTCTTTATTCTACCCAAATCTTTAAACTTAAATTATTATACCCTTAAATTTTTACTTATAAAAAACCATTTTTTCATATTCTTTTATACCATTACCGCTAGAAACCACTTAATTTCAATCAAACATCATTTTAACATTCATTAATTTTACAATATCTCTGTAAATAGTCTTTAAATTTCTTCCAGTCTTCTTCCACTGACTCTTCTCCCTGGTCTCGGATCCTGCCAGTCATTTCTGCCAATTCCATATAGTCCATCACCTTCATCTGCCATTCTTCCAGGGTGGGTAAATCTTGTGTCTTCCAATATTTTGCAATAAGTATTCTTGCTGCTGTATCGTTTTCTTAAAATCTCAAGATGACAAGCCAATCGTGTCTACAGGTTAGGTAAAGGTAAAGGGACCCCTGACCATTAGGTCCAGTCGCGAACGACTCTGGGGTTGCAGCACTCATCTCGCTTTATTGGCCGAGGGAGCCGGCGTACAGCTTCCGAGTCATGTGGCCAGCATGACTAAGCCGCTTCTGGCAAACCAGAGCAGCGCACGGAAATGCCGCTTACCTTCCCGCTGGAGCGGTACCTATTTATCTACTTGCATTTTGAGGTGCTTCCGAACTGCTAGGTTGGCAGGAGCAGGGACCGAGCAACGGGAGCTCACCCCGTCACAGGGATTCGAACCGCCAACCTTCTGATTGGCAAGTCCTAGGCTCTGTGGTTTAACCCACAGTGGCACCTGCGTCCCTTAATCTACAGGTTAGCCATCACTAATCCATTGAGAAGCTATGATTCAAAACCTTTATGCTAGCATGAAATGCAATCCCCCCCCCCCGCACTCTTTATCTCCTATGAACATTTTGGTACACATCACTTGGCAGCAGAACCACATAGCAAAATCCGTGGAGGTTTGAATTTCAAAGGATGGCTGAGATTTTGGTTCGCGTCTTGTTTCAGAAAGTGCAAATTGGGATTATTTGCTTATCATTGTGAATTAAATTGCTTTTCTTCCCCATTCTTACTTCAGTCTACAGCTTCATTTTGCCCAGGCCTTCTTAGGACAGAACTGCATGTTATGTGCCTAAATAAATAAATAAAATCATGCACCAGCATTTTAAAACAACACTTCCTTGGTGTTTATGAGACACTTTGATTTGATACAAAGCTCATGTATTGAGACAGAATGCAAAAGGAGAACATGCAACTTACCATTTATGTTCAAGTGGCAAGGTTATGCACCCTCCCATAAACCCATTGATTCTCCTTAAAAGTGCTCTCTACCCACCACCCTAATCTCTCTTTCCTTCTCCCACATCTGATGCCAATTGATGCTGTTATGTACTGAGTTGAATAGGATATAAAATGCAGCAGTCTGATTGGTCCTAGAACAATGCAGCAGTATGATTGGTCCGCAGGAGCCACCCAATCCAGCTCCAGGTGGAAGTGAAGCCACAACTGATTGGCTTATAGGAGAATCCTGGAATTAGCCAATCACGTGCAGCCCATTGTGTAAATAATGTATATATAGCAGATATTGTGAGGAAACTTCCATTCCTCCTCGCCACTATGAGCTGAATAAAGAGCATGAAATCCACTCTCGACTCCGAGTATATTTCAGATGCCCTCTAGATAAGACTCCATCAGTCTCAGAGAGCATGGCAAACAGTCAGGGGCAAGGGGATCTCTATATATGGATGGCACCACATTCAGACCCTCCAGGGGTCCCTATTTTCCAGTGACAGTTCTGGATTTACTGTCCTGGTTTCTGATTTGAACCTGGAATGTCCCACTTTTCCTTAGGACGTCCCTGTTTTCATTGGAGAAAAGTTGGAGGGTATGGAGTTAACTGACCCCCGAGCCATCTGTAATAATAATAATAATAATAATAATAATAATAATAATAATAATAATAATAAATTTTATTTATATCCCGCCCGCCCCAGCCGAAGCTGGGCTCAGGGCGGCTAACAACAATCAAATAGTCCGCAAAATTCTGTGCAGATTGCCGATTGCCAGAGGAGGGGGTCAGGCTGCGCCCTGACCAAAGGCCTGGTGGAACAGCTCTGTCTTGCAGGCCCTGCGGAAGGATGTCAGGTCCTGCAGGGCCCTAGTCTCTTGTGACAGAGCGTTCCACCAGATTGGAGCCGCGGCCGAGAAGGCCCTGGCTCTAGTTGAGGCCAGCCTAACCTCTCTGTGGCCTGGGATCTTTAGGATGTTTTTATTTGCAGACCGTAAATTTCTCTGTGGGACATACCAGGAGAGGCGGTCCCGTAGGTACGAGGGTCCTTGTATAGGCAGCCTTGTATAGTTTTTTTAATGTTTAATGTTTTATTACGTTTTTATATATGTTGGAAGCTGCCCGGAGTGGCTAGTGCAACCCAGTAAGATGAGCAGGGTATAAAACCAAAAACAAAAACAGGATGTCCCTATTTTCATTGGAGAGATGTTGAAGGGCATGCACAATGGCTATGCTTGGTATAGCCTATCCCTTCTGGATCAAGAGTGGCTGGGGTAAAGGTAAAGGACCCCTGGACAGTTAAGTCCAGTCAAAGGCAAACATGAGGTGCAGTGCTCATCTCGTTTCAGGCCAAGGGAGCCGGCGTTTGTCCACAGACAGCTTTCCGGGTCATGAGGCCAGGAGGACTAAACCACTTCTGGCACAACAGAACACCAGAGCGCACGGAAACGCCATTTACCTTCCTGCCACAGTAGTACCTATTTATCTACAGTTGTACCTCAGGTTAAGAACTTAATTCGTTCTGGAGGTGTGTTCTTAACATGAAACTGTTCTTCCCCTGAGGTACCACTTTACCTAATGGGGCCTCCCGCTGCTGCTGCACCGCCACTATGCAATTTCTGTTCTCATCCTGAAGCAAAGTTCTTAACCTGAGGTACTATTTCTGGGTTAGCGGAGCCTGTAACCTGAAGCATCTGTAACCCGAGGTACCACTGTACTTGCAATGGCATGCTTTGAACTGCTAGGTTGGCAGGAGCTGGGACAGAGCAATGGGAGCTCACCCCGTCGCGGGGATTTGAACCGCCGACCTTCCGATCGGCAAGCCCAAGAGGCTCAGTGGTTTAGACGACAGCGCCACCCGTGTCCCTACAGTGGCTAGGGAAACCCAGCCAGACGGGTGGGGTATAAATAAATCATCATCATTATCATCATCATCATCAACAACAACTTAATGGTATCTGAAGGGCGATTCTAGATTTTTAAAACTAACAAACCAATCTTGAAAGAACAATTGCATTGCCCCTTCCGCTCTCCCCTGCTTTCTTGCTTCCAAAGAGGGATGCTCAAGGAATCTCTGCAAATTCTGAATCCCAATGCAAACTTGCCATGCGTGAATTGAAAGGTGGTTCTCCAACAGCTGCGAGAGGTACTTACGGGACCAACCTCACTCGTAGAGTTCTTGGACGGAAGCGACTTCCATGATGGTGCTGGGTTGCACCCACATGGGGGCAGACCTTTGGGTGATGCTGCTCCTGCTTCGGCAGGCAACTTTCCTCTTCAGCAGATCTCCGCCCCACTTCTTGAGCAGGCAAGCAGTCACTTCAGAAGCTGCCACTTGAACGCCATGGCTGGGCGCCTCCTCAAGCTTATCGAGCGCTGAAACAGGAGGGGCAGATGTGTCAAGGGACCAACTCTTCAAGTAACAAGAGCCGATATGCCAATAGAACCTAACTACCACTACTATAAGGGACGCGGGTGGCGCTGTGGGTTAAACCACAGAGCCTAGGACTTGCCGATCAGAAGGTCGGCGGTTCGAATCCCCGCGACGGGGTGAGCTCCCGTTGCTCGGTCCCTGCTCCTGCCAACCTAGCAGTTCGAAAGCATGTCAAAGTGCAAGTAGATAAATAGGTACCGCTCTGGTGGGAAGGTAAACGGTGTTTCCGTGCGCTGCTCTGGTTCGCCAGAAGCATCTTAGTCATGCTGGCCACATGACCCGGAAGCTGTACGCCGGCTCCCTCGGCCAGTAAAGCGAGATGAGCGCTGCAACCCCAGAGTCAGCCACGACTGGACCTAATGGTCAGGGGTCCCTTTACCCTTTACCTTTTACCACTACTATATACTGCTGCTGCATTGGCTCGTTTTTTTCCCCCTTTTAGCCTTCTGGTGCCCTGCTGAATTCGGCACCTGCAGGCTAAAAGGGGGAAAACCGAACCAACGCTCGGCGGGAGTGGCGCACGCACCCTTGCTCACTCAGTGCACTCGTTCAGTGTTCCCCAAACTCACGCCTGGCGCCCTCCAGAACTTGACGCCCCGGCGCCCCCGCACCACTAGCCTCTATGGATAAGACGGGCCTGTCTGTGAGCAGGGAAGTCCACACATTAGGGGCTGCTGCAGAGAAGGCCCTCTCCTGGGTCACCACCCCTGCACTTCTGAGGGAGGTGGATCTTCCAAGAGGGACCCCTCTGCCAATCTCAGCACCCAAGGGGGTCAACCTGGATGGAGGACCACATGCTGAGATTCCTGCATTGCAGGGGTTGTCCTAGGTGAGCCCGGGGCTACCCCTTCCCAACTCCACAATTCTTTGATTCTAACATGCGGCTGTCATTCACGACTGCGTAACAATGGAGGAGAGGCGGTTGCCAAGCGAAGGAACATTCTGGCTGAATGTATTTGTGTTCGTTGTAGTAAGTCTCATGTGCGAGGCCGCCCAACTTGTTTTCAAATTTGTACCTACCGTACTTTTCCAGGTATAAAATGACAGGTTTTTTTTTACTCTAAAATAATGTTAAGAATCTGCGGGCGTCTTATACACGGATAGTGCATATGCAGGACAGGCGATTGGTTGCAGCCGCGATCAGGAGCTTTCCAGCGGCGATTGGGTGGGTGATTGGTGGCTGCGGCAAGGGCTGCTTAGGATCGGCTGCTGTTGACATTTCCATTCCATCTTAAGGAACAGGCACGTGGAATTGTTGCATGTCACATGTCTGTTTACATTCCAGCACAGTATGCTGGGAACTTCCGTCTGTGTATAGCTTATGCTTTTGCTGTTCTCTCTGAGATGACATGAGAGAGAGAGACGACATGTTTCTTTGTTCTGATTTATGATTAATAAATCTGTAGGTATAGTATGACTTCACAAGCCTCACACCTATTCTGTGTGCACAGTACACTCTGCTAATAGCGTGCCCTGGCTTTTGAAGCTCAGGTCGCTGATGTACGTCGGAGCACGGGCCGATGGAAGGAGACGGCTTATCAGCTAGCCTCCCGGCCCTCTGCATGTTAACAGTTGGGTGGGTGATTGGCGACTGCGGCAAGGGCTGCTGTGGATTGGCTACCGCTGTGGCAATTGTGCGTGCGATTGGCGGCGGGTGGTGGCGAGCAGTCAGACGCTTGTTTTCTTCTGTGATGCTTGCGATGGGCAGCGTTTGTCAGTCGGGTAAGTGATTTTCGGCTCAACAACTTTGGACAATCCTCCCCATTTTCTTAAATTGGAATCCCCAAAAGTAGCTGACGTCTTATATATGAGAGCGTGCTATACACAGAAAAATACAGTATTTTGTGGGATGTTATCTGTTGGAGCAGTCAAATACAACATTCCTTGTTTCTCTACAGTGGACACAGGCAGCGGGGTGTTACTCCAGCCAGTATAACTTCCTGTTCCACTGGTCTGGAGCATCCTCCCCCTGCGTGTGACCAGGAAGATGGGCGTGACTCTGGCTCACTCCATAAATGATCAAGCCAGACTGGATTGCTTAATTAACGAGGTTCAAACGAAACTGCAAACTAGCTTCCTGCTGTATCGAGGGGAATGTGTTTTTTTAAGGACGTGCATGAATAAGAGTAAAATAATGGAACCAGGAGGGGAAGTCGAGGGAAGTCAATTAAGTTTTATGGTTTAAATTTATGGATGTGAATATTATTATTGTTTTTTATTTTTGTTATTTTTGGAAAATTAATAATATGTTATCAAAAGAGAGAGAGAGAGAGGAAAGAGAGGAATGTGCTCTGCTACATGACTCTCTAGTGTGAGTGAAGGAAGGATAATATTTAATCAATACATCCTCTCCGACCATCCTTAACATTCCGACATATTTTCTGTGCCATTCACTACTTGCATTGTTAGAAAACCCCTACAATGGAAGGGAGAAGGAGGAGAAGCATATCCTTGAGCAGGTCTCGCAAGCAGAGTTGCTGCTGCCCTCCTTGGAAACCCTGCAGAGGTGACTTTTGGGTGACTTACAGGCCAGCAGTAGCAGCCGCAAAGTCTCGTCTAATTCTGTGAGCTGCATGCAGTCCAGAATGACTCCTGGAGGAAAGAAGTCAAACAAGGACAGGTCAGGTATCTGATGCCATCTTAGCTATAAAATCCCCAGAGTGGTTTAATAATAATAAAAATAATAATAAATTTTTATTTGTACCCCGCCCTCCCTGGCCAGAGCCGGGCTCAGGGCAGCTAACATCATAAAACTAACACAGTATACAGTCATACCTTGGGTTACAGACGCTTCAGGTTGCGCGTTTTTGGGTTACGGATGCGCCGAAACCTGGAAGTGGGTTACTTCCGGGTTTCAGTGCTCGCGCATGCGCAGATACACTAAATCACGCTTTGCACATGCGCAGAAGCGCCAAATCGCAACCCACATGTGCGCAGACGCGGCGCTGCAAGTTGCGGATGCTGTGGGTTGCGAACGTGCCTCCCGCACGGATCATGTTCGCAACCCAAGAGTCCACTGTACAAAGAACATAAGAACATGAAAACAGGCAGTCAATTAATTAAAATACATCTTAAAATTAGTTCAGAGCAAATGAAAATCTGGACAGATGGCAGTCCACAGGTAAAATTGAGAGTGGTTTAACAGTCAATAGCCCTTTCCATGGAACTCTGGGAATTGTAGTTCTGGAAGGGGAGCAGGGGTTGTCCAACAACTCACGGCGCCTGTCCCAAACTACACTTCCCAGATTTCTTTGGGGTTGGGGAGCCCAAAGGGGTATAATAGTGAAACTTACCGGAAAATAAGAAATCAAGATAACAAGCTTTTTTTTATAAAAGAATGGAAATGATTGACTGAATATTTACAAACTGTAGACAGATAAGAACATTGGCAGCATAATTGTAATAACCTGCAGTTTTATAAGAGTATGTATTTAAAGGAGATGAATATACGAGCAAATTGATTTAATTTGCATATGCAGAAAATATTAAAAATAAATTTAATAAATTTAATAAATAAATTTAAGGAACTGAAGAAAGAGGGGGAAGGAAATCAAGTTTTGAACTGTTAAAGTGATTGAAATGTATAAAACTGAAAATCATAAATAAAATATTCTTTAAAAATCACGATGCGGTATAATAGTGTAACCTGAGTGTGAGATTCCTGGACTTGTCATACTGTAAATCTGATGAGGACCCTCCTGTAAACTCCGTCTAAGGGGGAAGGTGCAAATGAAGTACTTCAAATATTTAACAATAACCACCAATTTTCATGAAGATTTCATGTCTGCTGAAGAAGTCAGAAACTTATTTCCTCTCTCCCCCATGTGTGTGTCTCTCTGTGTGCATACATCAATATGAGTAGAACAATCATATCTAACCTGGTGCCTTGCAGATGTTTTAATCAATCAATCAATCAATCAATCAAATCAATCAAATCAATCAATCAATCAATCAATCAATCATTAGACTTATTAGTAGCTGTCTATCTGAAAGGTCTCCAAGTGATTTGCATTTAAAAACTTAAACAAAATTACATTACACCATGGACCATTCACATGAAACACCGACGTTCTCATGCAAAGACCAACAACTCATGTTCACAGGCGGACAGAGAAGACTACGTCTCCCATCAGCCCCGGCGGCCTGGCCTCTCACCTGACAACTCAAGGGCTCTGATCTGGATCTCTTCCCACCTGCTTTGGAAATAGGCTTTCGTCTTTTTCAAGAGCTCCCTCCTCATCGCTGGGTGGCTGTTTACCTGACATTGACCAAACACAACATGCTCATTAGCTTCCTTGGCTGCCGGAAAAAAGATAAATAAAATAAAAAGAGAGAATAGTGATATGACAAAATGGCTCTCTTAATATTAATTTTAATAAATTTAATTTAAATTTTTAAAAATTTTAAAAATTTAAATTTAAATTTCCTGTTTAGGGAAGCTTTTAATGTTTGATGTATTATGGTATTTTAATATTTTGTTGGAAGCCGCCCACGGTATAAATAATTTTAATTTTTTTTAAAAAGATATTTATTAAAGTTTCAAACAATAAAACAAACTTCACAAAACAGAATAAGAAAAAAGAAAAAACACCATCACCATCAATCCAAAAACCAAAAAAGCACAGTAAAAAAACCCTCATGAAAAGCAAAAGAAAAAAGACATAAAAAAGACATAGAAAAAACCAGTTTCTCAAATATTATTCTCATAATCCTCCTTCCAGACTCCCTCGCGTCTCCCTTTTCTGTGTTCCCTTTTACACAATCTTATTCAGCAATGCCTCACCTTCTTTTAAATCTTATTTCATATTATACATTTCAACTATTATGCCTTCAGTTTTCCCCATTTTTTCATTTTGATTAAATTTGACATAATATTATTCTGACTTCACCTTTGTTCTGAAAACCATTTTTTACATACTCCTTTCAAGTATATCACTAATACCATATTTTCTTTATGTCCCGCATCATTCTAACATTCATACAATTTGCAATGCTTTTGCAAGTAGTCTTTAAATTTCTTCCAGTCCTCTTCCACTAGCTCTTCTCCCAGGTATTGGATTCTGCCAGTCATTTCTGCCAATTCCATATAGTCTATCAATTGCATCTGCCATTCTTCCAGAGTGGGCAAATCTAGTGTCTTCCAGTGTTTTGCGATAAGTATTCTTGCTGCTGTTACTGCATACATAAAGAAAGTTCTGTCCTTTCTTGGCACCATTTGGCCAACAATGCCCAAAAGAAAGGCCTCTGGTTTCTTAGGGAAGGTATATTTAAATACCTTTTTCAGTTCATTATAGATCATTTCCCAGAAAGCCTTGACCTTTGGGCACGTCCACCAAAGGTGAAAGAATGTTCCCTCAGTTTCTTTACATTTCCAACACTTATTGTCTGGCAAATGGTATATTTTTGCAAGCTTGACTGGGGTCATGTACCACCTGTATATCATTTTCATGGTATTTTCTTTCAAGGCATTACATGCCATGAATTTCACACCAGTGGTCCATAACCGTTCCCAGTCAGCAAACATAATATTATAGCCAATGTCTTGCGCCCATTTTATCATAGCTGATTTGACCGTTTCATCCTGGGTATTCCATTTTAACAACAGGTTATACATTCTTGAAAGTATCTTAGCTTTAGGTTCTAACAATTCTGTTTCTAATTTCGATTTTTCCACCTGGAAGCCTATTTTTTTGTCCATATTAAAGACCTCCCTAATTTGATGATAATGTAACCAATCTCGCACTTTATCTTTTAATTTCTCAAAACTCTGCAATCTCCATATGTCTCCTTCTTTTTCTAGTATCTCCCAATATTTCGGCCACTTGGCCTCCATATTGAGTCTTTTCTGAGCCTTAGCTTCCATTGGTGACAACCACCTTGGGGTCTTGTTTTCTAATAAATCTTTATATCTTGTCCAGACATTAAACACTGCTTTCCTGACAATATGGTTCTTAAATGCTTTATGAGCTTTCACCTTGTCGTACCAAGATATGCATGCCACCCAAACACATTATTGAACCCTTCCAGATCCAAGATATCAGTGTTCTCTAGAAGCAGCCAGTCTTTCAACCAGCAGAAAGCTGCTGATTCATAATACAGTTTCATGTCTGGCAGGGCAAACCCCCCTCTTTCTTTAGCATCAGTCAGTATTTTAAATTTTATCCTGGGCTTTTTGCCCTGCCAAACAAACTTAGAGATATCTCTCTGCCACCTCTTGAAACAATCCATCTTGTCCACAATCTGCAAAGTCTGAAACAAAAAGAGCATTTTTGGCAATACATTCATCTTTATAGCAGCGATTCGACCCAACAAGGAAAGCTTCAGTTTTGACCAAATTTCTAGATCCTTTTTGACTTCTGACCAGCATTTTTCACAGTTATCTTTAAATAGGTTCAGATTTTTAGCCGTCATATTAATCCCTAAATATTTCACCTTTTTAACCACATTTAACTCTGTCTCCTTCTGAAACCTTTCTTTTTCCATAATTGTCATTCCCCCCCCAAAACCTTAGCTTTTTGCTTGTTTAATTTGAATCCTGCCACCCGACCAAATTCTTGAATAAGTTCTAAAACCCATTTCATACTAGATTCTGGCTCCTGTAATGTCAAAACCAGGTCATCTGCAAAGGCCTTAAGTTTATATTGTTTGGCTCCGGCTAATTTTAATTTTAATTTTAATAGCTGATAGATCACACTGTAGTGCCTTTTGTGACAAATATCTCTTTTGAGTTTCATGACCAAACACGGTGCTGTGCGTTTTATAGAAATTAAATATACAAACAAAATGAACAGGCATTTCCCATCTCTTCCCTGTCCCCCCCACTTCCGTAATATTGGGTGTGGAGTGGCCAGTTTCTGAATTCGTGAGGCCTCCTCTACTCTTAGGAACCATAGAAGCAGGATTCATGCATCACAGGGGGGTTGAGCTAGATGACCCCGCGGGGTCCCTTCCAACTCGGCAACGCTTCTATGATTTCTCGACTTCACTGCCGCCTTCCTGCCATTCTGCCACAAGGACACTGCACTTCCAGCAGGCCTAGGCAAACTTGGCCCTCCCAATGTTTTGGGACTACAACTCCCATCACCCCTGACCACTGATGGGAGTTGTAGTCCCAAAACATCTGGAGGGCCGAGTTTGCCTGTGCCTGACTGATAGCCTCCTCATTCAGGGATCTCTTTGTCTCTCACCAGCTGCTTGCATATGTGCATGCGTAAATTCGGGAGCCCCAAACTGCTGGTGGTGTACAGTTCTTCCAGATGGACCCTCAACTTCCCTTTGGCCAAAAATGGCACCGAGTGTAGAAATGCAGCTCTGCAGGCCTGCAAGAAAGAAGAGAGAGGGTGTGTGGGGAAAGCAGAACTGTGCAGTTTCAGAATTATCGATAGGCTCCTTCAAGGACGTGAATGCACTGCAGGAAAATAATAATAATTTACAGTTGTAAGAAAAATAGTGCTCCCTTTCCCTTATGGGGTATCTAAGAGCCCGGATAGAGTCCTTAAGTATCTATCGGAAGGAGAAAAATAACAGAGGCATAACTGTCAACTTACAGATTTGAAAATAAGGGACCAGCAGCCTCGAAAATAAGGGATCAGCAGCCAAAATAAGGGATTTTCACAGCACAGGTATGTTCAGCTTCTGAGCCCCTCCGAGCCAAAGGCAGAAAGCCCAGCAGCAGCCAAACGAAGCCTCAAGCGGTGGTTCCCATAGCGCAGCAACCCGGCAAAGGGGATGCAGCAAGGGAAACCGCCGTCCCCTCTCCGCTGGGAAGCGCTGAGCAAAGGCGAGTCCCCAGGCAACGCGGCCGATTTGATTGGCTGAAGCCAGACAAGCTCCACCCGCCAGTCGTTCTTAGACTCCTTATTGGGTGAGCAACGCAGCCAAGCAACACAGTTGGAGCCTCCCTCCTCCCTGGCCGGCAGGAAGGGAGGGAGAGGAGCTGCTTCCTTTGAAACCCGGGAAATTTAAGGGACATCATCAATAAGGGACAGCAGCGGGACACGGCGCTGGGATAAGGGAGTTTCCCGCCAAATAAGGGACGGTTGACAGCTGTGAACAGAGGCCAACCAGAGAATATTGAGAAGGAAAGCAGCTAGTAAGCCTGATCTTTATTAAACTGTTGCAACAGGGTTCCCCGCTCACCCCACGCAGGGAGGGAGGAGAGGAACCTAGAACAATGGTGTGCAAGCATTTATATAGACATTTGAAAATTGCCTCCCCTGTAGCTCAAGACCACCCCCCAAAACATCATACATGCAGTCTACAGCAGAAAACCTGTCTGCCAGGATACCCGATAATGGTCACTGGTTGCTTTTACCTGGGCATCCTTGCCATTCTTTTGTGATAGTAAATACTCAGTTCCTGAATCCAGGTTACAGGCTCACCTTATTCATACACAGATACGCCCTTAAGACAGGATTTGTGAGCAAAGACACAAAGGGGAGGAAATTTTCCCATTTCCTTCCTCCTTGCAGAGAAACATTTGAGGTCAATTTGGGAGAGTCAAAATGGTTTCAGGATTGCTCTCCTGTACTATTTCAGACACACGTATGTATGTGTTTGCCTTGTAAATTTATGGACATATGATTTATATATAAGAGACCTCAGAATTCCTATAACATAAACATTGAGCAAGACAGATTTACTTCTGAGTAGACACATTTAGGATTGCACTGATCTAGGAGGTGCCAGTCTAGACAGTTATTATGAGAGATCTCTCAGAGATCAAATTATGCAGGAACCTCTACTTTGGGTCTCACCCTGTGCCATCGTAATGTGACTTTGCCAGGAGGCAACGACTAAGGAACTATCACTTTCCTTTGGTATTCAGCGACCCAGATGGGATGGAGGGGGCTCTGGGTCTTACCTCAGACACCTTGGGATTGGGGTCCCACTGGTGAATCAGAAGTGGCACCAAACTCTTCCTCGCTTGCTCGGCAAAAAAAGTTCTGTATCTGAATTTCGGCAAGTCAGCCAGGATGCCAAAGAGATGGAATGACGCCTCGCGAATCTCCGCATCAAACTGTAGGCAGGAAAAGAAACAACCTGCAACCGATTATCATTCTTTATTTATAATTTCATAAAATGTATACACTGCATGATAGTAAAAGAAATCAGCAACTGCATAGAGAGATTTTACTTTCTTGGGCTCCATGATCACTGCAGATGGTGACAGCAGCCACAAAATTAAAAGACGCCTGCTTCTTGGGAGAAAAGCAATGACAAACCTAGACAGCATCTTAAAAAGCAGAGACATCACCTTGCCAACAAAGGTCCGTATAGTTAAAGCTGTGGTTTTCCCAGTAGTGATGTATGGAAGTGAGAGCTGGACCATAAAAAAGGCTGATCGCCGAAGAATGGATGCTTTTGAATTATGGTGCTGGAGGAGACTCTGGAGAGTCTCAAGAAGTCCCAAGAAGATCAAACCTATCCATTCTGAAGGAAATCAGCCCTGAGTGCTCACTGGAAGGACAGATCCTGAAGCTGAGGCTCCAATACTTTAGCCACCTCATGAGAAGAGAAGACTCCCTGAAAAAGACCCTGATGTTGGGAAAGATGGAGGGCACAAGGAGAAGGGGACGACAGAGGACAAGATGGTGGGACAGTGTTCTCGAAGCTACCAGCATGAGTTTGACCAAACTGCGGGAGGCAGTGAAAGACAGAAGTGCCTGGCGTGCTCTGGTCCAGGGGGTCACGAAGAGTCGGACACGACTAAACGACTAAACAACAACAACAACAACAATCAAAACAATTTACAAAACGACAAAACAATAAAATCAAGACGAAAATAAACTGCTGAAACAGGTTACAATTCATGCCAGATTTTTAAGCAACTGGGTAAAAGGTAAAGGGACCCCTGACCGTTAGGTCCAGTCACGGATGACGCTGGGGTTGTGGTGCTCATCTCGCTCTAGAGGCCAAGGGAGCCAGTGTTTGTCTGCAGAAAGCTTCTGGGTCAAGTGGCCAGCAGGACTAAGCCGCTTCCGGCGAACTAGAGCAGTGCATGGAAACACCATTTACCTTCCTGCCAGAGCGGTCCCTATTTATCTACTTGCACTTTGATGTGCTTTCGAACTGCTAGGTGGGCAGGAGCTGGGACTGAACAACGGGAGCTCACCCCATCGTGGGGATTCGAACCGCCGACCTTCTGATTGGCAAGTCCTAGGCTCTGTGGTTTAACCCACAGTGCCACCCGCATCCCCCAAGCAACTGGGTTGTTGTAGTTGTTTAGTTATGTCCGACTCTTCGTGACCCCCTGGATGAGAGCACGCCAAGCACTTCTGTCTTCCACTGCCGCCCGCAGTTTGGTCAGACTCATGCTGGTAGCTTCAAGAACACTGTCCCACCATCTCGTCCTCTGTCATCCACTTCTCCTTGTGCCCTCCATCTTTCCCAATATCAGGGTCTTTTCCAGGGAGTCTTCTCTTCTCATGAGGTGGCCAAAGTCTTGGAGCCTCAGCTTCAGGATCTGTCCTTCCAGTGAGCATTCAGGGCTGATTTCCTTCAGAATGGATAGGTTTGATCTTCTTGCAGTTCATGGGACTCTCAAGAGTCTCCTTCAGCACCAGAATTCAAAAACATCAATTCTTTGGTGATCAGCCTTCCTTATGGTCCAGCTCTCACTTGCATACATCACTACTGGGAAAACCATAGCATGAGCTATACAGACCTTTGTTGGCAAGGTGATGTATCTGCTTTAGATATCGGTATTTCTAAAAGAGAAAGGGAATCAGGAGTCATCAATTATTCCTTATCTTATCTCCTATCCTGTATCAGTGCTAAGTTCTCCAATCAAAGTGGTTGAGTAGGCAACTAGGGGGTAACCCTAGCAAACTGGCAAATATAGCTCAGTAGGAAGAATGTGAAACTCTGAATCTGAAAGGGATGGTTGGGGAGACAGGATCTTCAACCTCTTAATTCCAAACAAAAAAGCATTCCTTCCAGTAGCACCTTAAAGACCAACTAAGTTAGTTCTTGGTATGAGCTTTCGTGTGCATGCACACTTCTTCAGATACCAAGTGTGCATGCACACGAAAGCTCATACCAAGAATTAACTTAGTTGGTCTTTAAGGTGCTACTGGAAGGAATGCTTTTTTGTTTTGACTATGGCAGACCAACACGGCTACCTATCTGTAACTCTTAATTCCAGTAGCTTGCAGAAAATTAGCTCTCCGTGGTGTAGTGGGAAAGTTTGGAAAAGAAAAACAAAAATCCTCCAGAGACCTTCATATTTCTGAAATAAACTTTGTGACAGTTCAAAGCACTTTTTAAAAGTTCTCAGTAACCTTTACGACAACCCTGTAAAGCAGGCCAGTGTTATTCTTTCCCCTATATTGCAGATGGTGAGAGACTGGTTTGCTTAAGAAGGTGGTAGCCAAACTCAGCACTCCAGATGTTTTGGAACTACAACTCTCATCATCCCTAGCTAACAGAACCAGTGGCCAGGGATGATGGGAATTGTAGTCCCAAAACATCTGGAGGGCCGAGTTTGGCCACCACGGGCTTAAGAGCATTGAGTGAATTTCCTCACATGCTTAAAGGTGAAGGACCCCTGGATGGTTAAGTCCAGTCAAAGGCAACTATGGGGTTGCGGCGCTCATCTCGCTTTCAGGCCAAGGGAGCTGGCGTTTGTCCACAGTCAGCTTTCCGGGTCATGTGGTTAGCAGGACTAAACCGCTTCTGGTGCAATGGGACACCATGACGGAAACCAGAGCACACGGAAACTCCGTTTACCTTCCCGCCACAGTGGTACCTATTTATCTACTTGCACTGGTGTGCTTTCGAACGGCTAGGTTGGCAGGAGCTGGGACAGAGCAACGGGAGCTCACTCCATCATGGGGATTTAAACCACTGACCTTCTGATCGGCAAGCCCAAGAGGCTCAGTGGTTTAGACCACAGCGCCAATCGCGTCCCTTAACTACCACCCAAGACCAATCCACAGCTTCCTGGAGGGTCCATTGCGCAACATCACTGCAGAGCATCCCTTCCCTATAGCAGAGATGAGCTGGCAGCAAGCAATGGCAAGGGCTGTAGCTCATTGGCAGAACATCTGCTTCGCATGCAAGGTTCATTCCCCATTGGCGTCTCCAGGCAGGGTTAGGAGAGCCTTTCGGCTTGAAAGCCCCGGAGAGTCGCTGCCAGTCAGTGCAGACGACACTGAAGTAGATGGAACCATAGTCTGACTCATAATTACAAGGCAGTTTCCTATGTTCATCATGGGAAGGTAACTTGAAACACAAAGCTGGATCTCAGGGAAATTTGAAGGGTGGGGTTGGGGTTCTATCACTGGCTTACATCACTCAGGTAGGTGGTGGTCTTCGTAGAGATGTCTTTGAACATGAAGCCCACATCCTGCCTTTTCAGGTGAGGAAAGACCAGGGCAAGGGCTCTGAGACCCTCCAGCACCACATTTGCATCGTACAACGTTCCCAGGAAAATAGCCACAATGGTCCTCTTCTGCTGTTTCACCTGGAAGGGAGGAAGAAGAGGAGTTTGGATTTGATATCCCGCTTTATCACTACCCTAAGGAGTCTCAAAGCTGCTCACATTCTCCTTTCCCTTCCTCCCCCCCAACAAACACTCTGTGAGGTGAGTGGGGCTGAGAGACTTCAGAGAAGTGTGACTGGCCCAAGGTCACCCAGCAGCTGCATGTGGAGGAGCGGAGACGCGAACCCGGTTCCCCAGATTACGAGACTACTGCTCTTAGCCACTACGCCAGACTGGCTCCCACGATGAGCGCCCATGATATGGGAGACGGGCAAGAGTCCTTTTTCAAAATACTCATTTTATCTTCATGACGGATGATATACAGAACAAAAACGGGGAGGGGGGAATATAAAATCCATAATCCATTATGTGAAATAATTTACGAGGCCAAATTAAATATATCGACCAGCAAGCACACAGATGCACTTTAGCATTTATTCTTAGTAAATACGCCTGGGGGGAAAAATGAAGTCTAATTAAGTCTAAGTCAATACATATGTGGCTTCTCAAATAACCTCAACTGCCTCTTGGCTTAGTTTAGAGCGGCCGTGATTTTGCCTGCAGTACAGTGGTACCTTGGGTTACAGACGCTTCAGGTTACATACGCTGCAGGTTACAGACTCTGCTAACCCAGAAATAGTACCTCGGGTTAAGAACTTTGCTTCATGATGAGAACAGAAATCGCGCGGCAGTGGAACAGCGGCAGCGGGAGGCCCCATTAGCTAAAGTGGTGCTTCAGGTTAAGAACAGTTTCAGGTTAAGTACGGACCTCCGGAACGAATTAAGTACTTAACCCGAGGTACCACTGTATATAGAAAGGAGCAAACCGGTGATATTTGAGGGAGTAGGCTAGCAGGCGGGGCCCATGACTTACATCACAGGAGCCTACACAACACCAAACACTGTTACTGTATGTAGGTTTTATTTTATTTGTTTTTTTATTTTATATTTTGGAAATGTACATCCAGATTTTTTTCCTTTAAATTTTTTGGGGGCCTCCCAGAGAGTGGGGCCCCTAAGCTATAACTTGCTTAGCTTATACAGTGGTACCTTGGGTTACATACGCTTCAGGTTACAGACTCCGCTAACCCAGAAATAGTACCTCGGGTTAAGAACTTTGCTTTAGGATGAGAACAGAAATTGTGCTCCGGCGGCGCGGCGGCAGCAGGAGGCCCCATTAGCTAAAGTGGTGCTTCAGGTTAAGAACAGTTTCAGGTTAAGAACGGACCTCCGGAACGAATTAAGTTCTTAACCCGAGGTACCACTGTATACAGAAACATCGCACACTGTATTGAAGAAAATTCTCCCACTGCTCTAATGAATCATTTGGTCCTTCCATAAAGAGTTTCAAATATAGGGCAGGGTTCTCCATGTCAGCTGAAGCCCTCAGCAAGGACTTCCATTTGCACAATGGGACTTCCCCCACTTCTTCTGGCTTGGGGGGTGTCTGGAGAAGCCCCAGTACAGTGCTTGGAGCAGGGGGGAGAAAGAGGATTGTTCTCTCTGGCAAGCCGAAATGTTAGAATCATAGAACTGTAGAACTGGAAGGGACCCTGAGGGTGGTCTAGTACAGGGGTTCGGCAACATTTTTCAGCCGTGGGCTGGTCCACCTGTTAGGATATACCGGTAGTTCCGTTCCACCTTAAAAGGGAACAGGCATGACTGTTGTGCGTCGCACTTGCTGGGAACTTCCATTTGTATATTGCTTTTGCTTTTAGCTGTTTGCTGGAGACGAAGGGAAGCAGACATGTTTTTTCCTTTGTTCCTGAACTATGCTGAATAAATGCTGTAAATATGCTTACACATGGCTCTGTCCGCCACTTCTGCTGTGAGAAGATTTATTCACTCTGCTGATAGAGTGTGCCCAGTCTCTAAATGTATCTGAGGCTCGTGTTGCTATTTGATGCTGTTCCAAGGGAGACCGGTGATCGCCCGGCTGCCGGCCGGTAGCTGGAGCCAGCTGGGGGCCTACCTTATGCCCCCATCTCCCTGGCAGTATCCCAACACCACTGTCCCTCAGACCATGTGGTGGCCCGGACTATATTTTGGGGGGTGGGGGAATGAATGCATTCCTCTGCCCCACAAATAACCCAGAGATGCGTTTTAAATAAAAGCACACATTCTACTCATGTAAAAACACGCCGATTCCTGGACCATTCGTGGGCCGAACTGAGAAGGCAATTGGGCCAGATCTGGCCCCCGGGCCTTAGGTTGCCTAGTCCTGGTCTAGTATAACCCCTTGCAATGCAGAAATATGTTCCATATGGGGCTCGAACCTGCAACCTTGATAAAATCAGCACCACAGTCTAACCAACGGAACTATCCAGCCTGCACAGACAGAACGATCAGAAGACCAGGATATCGAATTCCACAAAATACACAGCAAAACAAAAAGCAAACCCTTCTACGAGCACATTTAAAAAAGCCATAGGATGTTAATCAGCCAAATGCCTAGCTAAAGAGGAACATTATCGCCTGGCATCTTCGTTGCCTTTCTTTAGGCGCCAGGTGAGCCTCCCCGGGGAAAGCATTCCACGAGCAGGAAGCCACCGCACAGGCCTCCTGCAATAATGCCACCTTTAAAGAGCAACGCCGCCTCACCTTGTCTGCAGCCACGAGGAGAACGTTTGCCAGGCCCTTGATTGCCATCTGGCGGGTGCCCAGGTGATGGTCCCCTGCCCTCTTCATCAGGAGGGGAAGAATGGATTTCAGACGCACCCTTTCTCCTAGCATGGGGTCCCGAATCGCCTGCAAATAAACAGACAATTTCATTTAGTTATTTACCGTATTTTGTTGCATTTATATACCTATTTATTATTATTATTATTATTAATAATAATAATAATAATACAGTGGTACCTTGGGTTACAGATGCTTCAGGTTACAGTCGCTTCAGGTTACAGACTCGGCTAACCCATAAATATTACCTTGGATTAAGAACTTTGCTTCAGGATGAGAACAGAAATTGTGCGGTGGCGGCGGCAGCGGGAAGCCCGATTAGCTAAAGTGGTACCTCAGGTTAAGAACGGTTTCAGGTTAAGAATGGACCTCAAGAACAAATTAAGTTCTTAATCTGAGATACCAGTGTGTGTGTAAACAATTTTAACAAACATATTTTCAATCAATATATCCATTTACATTTGCCCCCCTTTTTATTCCCCCCTCGCCCCCCCCAAGGACTTCCCTCAGCTCCCGTCTCTGGTTTCTTTGCACATATTGTTCTCTGCACATTGTAAAATTGTACATATCATTGCCTTATCTATCATATATTCAACTAATAAATTTGTGGATGTTTATTCAAAAGCTGCCAAGGAGTCCAAATCATTTTGTTGTCTTTTTAAATCATTTGTAAAAAGTTCCCATTCTTCCTTGAAGTCACAATTGTCCTTGTCATGCAGTTTATTTGTCAACTTGGCCAATTCCGCATAGTTTTTCTTGCCACTGTTCTTTCGTTGGGATTTCCTTATTCTCAGGAAGAGAGATACACTTTCGATTATGGAAGTCCTTGTGATTCCTCTTGCCAAACCAGAAATGTTCATTGCTATTGTTTTCTCTCTGCTACTGCCCTACGCAATGACAACACAGAGCCATTCCAGGAAACAGTGGACCACATCCAGTGCTAGTCCTACTCAGAGTAGAACCCCTGAAATTCATGGGAATTGCATGTTGTTGTTGTTTAGTCGTTTAGTCGTGTCCGACTCTTCGTGACCCCATGGACCAGAGCACGCCAGGCACTCCTGTCCTCCACTGCCTCCCGCAGTTTGATCAAACTCATGCTGGTTGCTTCAAAAACACCATCCAACCATCTCATCCTCTGTCGTCCCCTTCTCCTTGTGCCCTCCATCTTTCCCAACATCAGGGTCTTTTCCAGGGAGTGTTCTCTTCTCATGAGGTGGCCAAAGTACTGGAGCCTCAGCTTCAGGATCTGTCCTTCCAGTGAGCACTCAGGGCTGATTTCCTTCAGAATGGATTGGACACCTTCCGACCTGAGGGGCTCATCTTCCAGTGTCATAACTTTTATATGCCTGTTGTCTTTGTCCATGGAGTTTTCTTGGCAGGGATACTGGAGTGGCTTGCCGGTTCCTCCTCCAGGTGGATCACGTTTGGTCAAAACTCTCCACTATGACCTGTTCATCTTGGGTGCCCTGATCGGCATAGTTCATAGCTTCTCTGAGTTATTCAAGCCCCTTCGCCACGGCAAGGCAGTGATCCATGAAGGGGATGGGAATTGCATACTTAAGTTCATTAATTTCAATGGGTCTACACTGATTAGGACTAGCACTGGACACAAGCCAGAGGCCTCCGTTCTTATGCTCAAATACCACGGCACCTTTTGAAAGCAACACCTGAGATGCCCATGTCTTACCTCTGAAAAGAAGGCAGTTCCTGTCAGCTGAAGCTTTTCGGACTCTGAAGTCATCCAGGGGAGGGCCTTCTCAATGATCTTTTGGTCCAAAAGTCTATTCTGAAACAGATGTCTATAAGAGAAAAAGGAACATTACAAGATGCTCACCTCCACAGCTGTGTGGGCGAGTGAGGGAGTCTGAATTGGGGTCATTCAAAATACGAGCTCCCCTAGTTCAGAGCAGCTTCATCCCAATACGATACGATAATCTTTATTGTCATTGTCCCATACAGAACAACGAAATTGAAACTCTACATCAGACATTCAAAAACCAACAAGCCTGCTATCCCTGCTATCCCAGCCTGGTTAGCCTCCTAAAAACTCTGATACCCCATAATTAAATACAATATACTCCCATGGAGACTACCTTACACTGCGTTTAAAACCAAAATCGCATTTGGATAGAAACTCTTTCTCAGGTGGCTAGTCCTAGTCTTTATAACCCTGTACCTTCTTCCAGAAGGCAGAAGCTGAAAGAGATCATTTCCGGGGTGTGCACTATCCTGCGCTATCTCTGCAGCTTTCTTATGGCACCTGAAAGCATAGATTTGATCCAAGGTGGGAAGAGTGCTCCCTTGGCCTATAGAGCGAGATGAGTGCGCAACCCCAGAGTCGGTCACAACTGGACCTAATAATAATAATAATAATAATAATTTATTATTTATACCCCGCCCATCTGGCTGGGCTTCCCCAGCCACTCTGGGCGGCTTACAAAAGAATATTAAAATACTGTGATACATCAAACATTAAAAGCTTCCCTAAACAGGGCTGCCTTCAGATGTCTTCTAAATGTCTGGTAGTTGTTGTTCTCTTTGACATCTGGTGGGAGGGCGTTCCACAGGGTGGGTGCCACTACCAAGAAAGCCCTCTGCCTGGGACTTCCGGGTTAGCGCGATCTGGAAATGGCGGATCCCCTCCGAGCTGCGGAGGGAATCGGCTCTACAGAGGTCGGGTTTTGCCGCGCCGGCGACGCGGGGACCCGTAGAAACTGTAGGCGCTGAAGCCTACGGACTGGAAGACTCGGTGGGCACCCTAAGCACCCCCCGACCCCCGAAAGGGTACGGAGGGTGGTGTGGCGCTGTGAGTCGATCGACACCTCTGCAGAGCGAAGCCGCGAGCCATGACCGGAGAGCGCTGACTTCCTCCCTGAAAATTTGGACTGAAAGAACTAACCCGTGAGTAAATGGAATTCGACTTTAAGAAACTTTCCCTTTGAATTCGAGACGACCGGAGGGTGTGTTAAAAGGGAGTCCGCACCCCCCCCCTAATTACAGACAATTTTCAAGCAAGGTCGAGAGAACTAAGGCGAAAAAGATACTTTTACATACTACAAAAGAAACTATCTTCCACGATTTAACAAAAGAGTGTTTTGCTGGAGAGTGAGGAGAATGTTTTTTCTCTTTTTTGTCTGAGAAAATTCCCCCCCCCCCCCCAGGGACCAGGGAGAGTCCTGTGTTTGAGCCTGGTGAAGAAGAATAAGGAGTTTGACAGCTGTCAAAAGAGCTGTCAAATGGACAGATTGAAAGATTGTTAATTGATATCTCTCTGAGTTAAAAGTTAAATTGAAACAAAGTTTTTGGAGACTTGATAGAAAGAAACATAAAAAGGTTTGGACTGTTGGGAAAAGTTTAAAAAGTAACCAGAATCCCTCTAGGGGGATTCCAAAGCTACTACAATGGCTGCAGAAGGAAAATTACAGGCAGAGATAAACAGGATGTTCTTTCTTGTGGGAATTCTGCAAGAGCAGAGTCTGAGTATGACTGAACAATTAATGACCTTGACTTCAGGAACAAACAACTCTGCTGAATGCATGAAGGATCCAACAGAAAAAGAATCTGCAGCCAAAACAGAAGCAATATCTCAAGAAGTGGAGGAAAGAGAGCAAGGAGAGGAGAATCAATTGGAAAATATCAACAAAAGGTCCACAATGGTGGACTTTGAGGGAAAGGATACTTGGATCACTTGGATTACAACCCTGCAAAAGATGTTAAAGATGAAGGAGGGAGCCCCTGAAGTATTTGGTCTACAAGAACTAAAAGGACACAAGAAATATGATTGGGGCCTCTCTTTTGAATACGAAAGAATGGCTGATTTTTGGCAGCAGTTGTTACCAAGTATCGTGGAGGGAAGGAGAATTGGAGTGATGGAGAATGGACTGCTTCGAGATTCTAGGATTGATATAAGAGACTTCCAACAAAATCGGTGGAGAGGAACAGAAAAAGATTTAAAAGCCTCGGATGTGAGAAATCCGGGCTAAAAACTATGGTGGACTTTTATTTGAAAAGGGACCAGTACCTGGGAAGGGGGGAGGGGGAAGCAGAAGGGCAAGAACGATAATGAACTTTGGGTTGGTGAAAAGGGCCTACATTTAAAAATGGGAAATCTGTGGAAGGGAACTTAGGCCGACCTTAGGAAAGAATCTAAATGTTTATAAGAATTGGGGATAAGAGAAATGGGGTTAATTAGGAAGAGATAGATTAAAAATATTAATTATAGGTAAAGAGAAGAAACTAAAACTTGCTGAACTAAATTTGGGAATAGGGATGTATGAAGAGGGGGTGGGGGGGAGTCTGGGGAATAAGGTTAAGGAAATAAGGCTTTGAGAATATATTTGTTTTGTTTTTGTTGTGTGTTTGTGTATAAAAAGTGTAAAAACCTAATAAAAATTATTTAAAAAAAAGAAAAAGAAAGCCCTCTGCCTGGTTCCCTGTAACTTGGCTGTAATGGTCAGGGGTCTCTTTACTTAGGGACAGTGCATCCAATTATTCTCTCTGCAGTCTTTACAACCCTGGACAGCATTGGTTTTTCCCCTGATGGTGCAGCTCCCAAACCACACACACAGACCATAAGGTAATACACTTTCAACAGTAGAATGGTAAAATGCCATCAACAGGTCCTTTGAGAGATTGTTTTTCCAGAGGATTCTCAGAAAATATAACCTCTGCTGTGCTCCAAATGGTGGGCCATTGTCCAAAAATCTGCTCCTTGATCTCAGGAAGCATCCTGCATAATTTGATTGCAATCTCTTAGAAGGTGACCAAACACATAGCCAACAGGCAAACGATTTCCCCAATATATAGCAGATAGCCTGAAATGCTTCATTGATGGTCTGCTGAACTCTGTATAGGATAACAAAGGAATGTGGCAGTTCCGCAGCTCCATAGTCCACTGCTCCGGAATATAAGGGGAAGTGTGGCAAACGTCAAATGAAGGACTTAGTTCACTAAGAAATCCCAAGTCCCTCACCTGGCCAGCAGAGAAGCCCCCTCCTGGTGGGTTCTAGGATCACCAAGTGAAGTCCAGATGTTCACCTCTCCAAACTCTGCCAGTGAGGGATCAGTGGTAAGCTTCAACACGAGAGCCTTCAGACTTGCCACAGAAAGTCTGTGGAGGAAAAGGGCACAGAAAGGGCATCTGAATCAGAAGAAGGTCGGATACTTGAAGAAGAACAGGCCAATACAAACTGAAAATGGTCTGCCACCTCTGGTCACCTCTGGCCCTAAAAGCACTGAGCCAGCAGCTGCGGGTGACCTACTAGGCATATTTCAAGGGGTTAGGATTAACGTGCAAAGCCATAAATGACTTGAGATCCAACTACCTAAACCTGCCTTTCCCAATACCAACCATTTTGGACAGGGGAGGCCTTTTTGATTGCGCCACCCTCTGCAACAGGGTCTTCTTGGTGGCGGCTCCCCATTTGTGGAACCCTCTTCCTGGTGAGATGTGTCTGCCTCTCTCATTATTAACATTCAGGAGCAATTAAAAAACAACACACAATTCTATTCATTTGGGAGATTTGATGGCCGAAAGCTATGGCTCCTGGCAACCTGGAAATTAATAGCTGTGAGGGCTATAGGACTGTTTTTAAATGTTTGTTGATGTACTTGATGCTTTCATTGTTTCTTGATGTACTAAATGGCTTCATTTTATTTTATTTTATTTTATTTTATAGCATTTTGCTTTCCTAGCTTTTTGCTGTCTTGGGCTCCCATTGGGAAGAAGGGCAGGATAGAAATTAAAAATAAAAATAAAAAGCCTGTTTTGCATGGAAAGAAGTCATAAAGAGGGAACTCTGCATGTGCAGCTGTCTAAGAGGAAGCCCAAGGTTTGCACATCTGTATGCTATGTTCATGGGGTTGTTAGTTCAGTTCCTGCAGGCCGACAAGAGAGGCCTCTGTATATGCAAATTTACTAGTTCAGAAGGGCTGCTGTCACAGGAAACCATAGAACTGTAGAACTGGAATGGACCCCAAGGGTCATCTAGTCCAACCCCCTGCAATGCTGGGGTCTCAGCTAAAAAACCCCTGACAAATGGCCACCCAATCCCTGCTTACAAGCCTCCAAGGGAGGAGCGTCCACAACATCCCCAGAAACTTGACATGAGCCAACAGTGTGATGCGGCAGCTAAAAAAGCCAATGCAATTCTGGGCTGCATCAATAGGAGTATAGCATCTAGATCAAGGGAAGTAATAGTGCCACTGTATTCTGCTCTGGTCAGACCTCACCTGGAGTACTGTGTCCAGTTCTGGGCACCACAGTTCAAGAAGGACACTGACAAACTGGAACGTGTCCAGAGGAGGGCAACCAAAATGGTCAGAGGTCTGGAAACGATGCCTTATGAGGAACGGCTAAGGGAGCTGGGCATGTTTAGCCTGGAGAAGAGGAGGTTAAGGGGTGATATGATAGCCATGTTCAAATATATAAAAGGATGTCACATAGAGGAGGGAGAAAGGTTGTTTTCTGCTGCTCCAGAGAAGCGGACACGGAGCAATGGATCCAAACTACAAGAAAGAAGATTCCACCTAAACATTAGGAAGAACTTCCTGACAGTAAGAGCTGTTTGACAGTGGAATTTGCTGCCAAGGAGTGTGGTGGAGTCTCCTTCTTTGGAGGTTTTTAAGCAGAGGCTTGACAACCATATGTCAGGAGTGCTCTGATGGTGTTTCCTGCTTGGCAGGGGGTTGGACTCGATGGCCCTTGTGGTCTATTCCAACTCTATGATTCTATGATTCTATCCCAAGGGAGTCCATTCCTCTCTTCGGAATCTTATTGCGTGTAGCTTGAATTCATCAGTTTGGGTCCTACCTTCCACAGCAAGAGAAAGCAATCTTGCTCCATCTTCTGTGCTAGGCCCAGGGGTAATCCGTGAAACGCGGTCCAGGACCGGTCCAGAATCCAGAGGTTCTACTAGGAGTCAGTCCCACAGGGCCAAGGCTGGACATGAGGCAGGAAACCAGGCAAGGATAGGTGCAGGATCTAGCATAAAGCAATGTTCCTCCCGCAACCTGGGGCGGGGTCCAACAGCCTGTTATCTTTGTTGGAGTAACGGCTGGTCCTTATCCCCTGGTGACTCACCTCCCTGTTTCGCCTGAAGGCGAGCACTCCTCCTGCGAGTACTCAGGTCTGTCCTTCTCTCAGACCTTAGTCTCTGCAGCTCAGGAGACGTCGATGGGTTACTAGACCCAGGGGCCGCCTCAGCCTCCCCTGACCCAACTGGTAGTGGAGCAGCTGTAAGCGATGGCCCAGCTGAAGGCAACGAGGTCATCTCCGCATCTGGAGCCAGGGCAGGCTCAGGCCCCTGACTCGGTCCAGCTGGTGTTTGTTGCAGGGGAACCTGTGCAGACTGGGACTCTTCAGGATCAGGCCCCAGACTTGGTTCAGGTGATGCCTGAGGCAAAGGATCCGGTGCAGACCGAGACTCCTCTGGTTCCGAGTCCCAGCACGAGTCCCAGGCCATCACACCTTCCATGTGACACAGCCGTTCAGTTACTTGAAGACAGGTATCATATCACCTTTCAGTCTCCTCTTCTCCGGGCTTCACATACCCAATTGCCTCAACTGTTCCTCATAAGGCTTGGTGCCCACATCCAATATCTTTTATTCATTTATTTTATTGACTTATTTTTTCCCTCATGCTTATTTCCACGCTTATTACATACAAAACCCCCCCAAAAAACCAATACTGAAAAGGGGTACAGCTTAAGAGGGGAGGGAAAAGGAAAGAAAATAAAATTTACACAATCTGTTAATAAGATAAAAATTATGACATAAATTTGTGATTGCAATTTCACGTTACAATAAAAATAAAAATCTCATTACCTTTTATACCCGACCTCCCATTTATTCCTTATTTCTTTTTACATAAATTTACTGCCGTATCAAAATTCTATTTTTTTATATATATATTTTTATAAATTTTTTATTAAAGTTTCAAAATTTTTATAACAACAAAACAAAACAAAAACAATAATACAAACAAACAAAAGAAAGAATAAAAACAAGTATAATTTCAACCCTTATTTTCATATAACTTACTTCCCCGACTTCCTCATAGCTCCCCTTTCTGTATTCCAATTTCTAATTTTTTATTCAGCAAATCCTTTCCCTTATTTTTCATTTGATTTTTAACATTTCTTTTCTTTTTAACTTATCCATTACAGCTGGAAACCACATATTTTCTAAACCAACGTCATTCTAACATTCATTAATTTTACAATTACAGATAGGTAGCCGTGTTGGTCTGCCATAGTCAAAACAAAAAAATTCCTTCCAGTAGCACCTTAAAGACCAACTAAGTTAGTTCTTGGTATGAGCTTTCGTGTGCATGCACACTTCTTCAGATACACTGAAACAGAAGTTGCCAGATCCTTCTATATAGTGAGAAGGTGGGGAGGGGTATTACTCAGAAGGGTGGTGGGAATGGGTGATTGGCAGATAGCTGTGATGAGCCTGTTGACGACTCTTAACGACTGCAATAGGTCTTACAGGAAAAAGCAAGGGGTGAGAAGGTGAAAAATGGCTTTGTCATGTATAATGAGATAAGAATCCAATGCCTTTGTTCAGACCAGGTCTCTCCATGGTTTTAAGTTTGGTAATGAGTTGCAATTCAGCAGCTTCTCTTTCCAGTCTATTTCTGAAATTCCTTTGTAGTAAAACAGCTACTTTGAGATCTTGTATAGAATGTCCTGGGAGATTGAAGTGTTCTCCTACTGGTTTCTCTGTCTTGTGATTCTTGATGTCAGATTTATGTCCGTTTATTCTTTGGCATAAGGTTTGGCCTGTTTGTCCAATATAGAGAGCTGAAGGACACTGTTGGCATTTGATGGCATACACAATGTTAGACGATGAGCAATTAAATAGTCCCGAGATGGTATGTGTGATGTTGTTGGGGCCAGTAATGGTGTTGTCCGGGTGTATGTGTATCTCACTATATAGAAGGATCTGGCAACTTCTGTTTCAGTGTATCTGAAGAAGTGTGCATGCACACGAAAGCTCATACCAAGAACTGACTTAGTTGGTCTTTAAGGTGCTACTGGAAGGAATTTTTTTGTTTTAATTTTACAATATTTCTTAAGATAGTCCTTAAATTTCTTCCAATCTTCTTCCGCTGTCTCTCTTCCCTGGTCTCGGATTCTGCCAGTCATCTCTGCCAAAAATTCTATTTTTTATATTAACATTTTCACAATTTATAAATGTTTATATTTATATAACCAATTAATAAAAGCCGCTGGGATGACTCAAAAGCTGCTACAGATTTTAACCTGGTATAATTTTGTTTAAGATATGTTCTGAAGGCTTCCCATGTTGATACAAATTCAATTCTCGGTTTATTTGTTTATTTTTTTTCAGATAGACTATCTGATTCAGCATATTCAGTCAATTTTTGTATCCACTCTTGTCTAGAAAGAATTCTGTCGCTCTTCCACCTTGTAGCTATATGAACTCTGGCTGCCACTGTTGCATACGAAAAAAGATCTTTAAATTTTTAAGGAATATCTGAATCAGCAATGCCCAACAGATATGCTTCTGGTTTCCTAATAAATGAGATTCTTAACATATTTTCTAATTCAAAGCCCAGACCCAAGATCTCTATGTTTCCAGAGGAGGCCCTTGCAAAAAAGCGGTGGCCAAATGGGAGACTGACCTGCAAGGGTTGCCTTCAGACAAATGCTGCTCTCTCAGAAACAGCCTCCGGCGACCCTCGTAAAACGGCATCCTCTTCTCCAGGGTTTTGCTGACCTGCTTTAGGAGAGTGCAGAACAGCTCTGGGAACAGCTCCTGGATGCCCTCTTCGGTGTGTAGCACAGACAGGACCTCGTAGATGGCGCAAGTGGCCTGAACAGAGAAACAGCAAAAGAATGAAAGGACACCTGGGTGTGTGAGAGGACATCTTCCAGTAAAACGGCCGTCATAGAACTGAATCATGGAATTGTAGAGTCAGAAGGAGTTCCAGTGGTCAGATTGAGGTTGAATCCTGACAAGACAGAAGTACTGTTTTTGGGGACAGGAGACGGGCGGGTGTGGAGGACTCCCTGGTCCTGAATGGGCCAGGTGCGCAGCCTGGGAGTCATACTGGACTCACAGCTGTCCATGGAGGCACAGGTCAATTCTGTGTCCAGGGCAGCTGTCTACCAGATCCATCTGGTACGCAGGCTGAGACCCTCTCTGCCCGCAGACTGTCTCACCAGAGTGGTGCATGCTCTAGTTATCTCCCGCTTGGACTACTGCAATGCGCTCTACGTGGGGCTACCTTTGAAGGTGACCCAGAAACTACAACTAATCCAGAATGCGGCAGCTAGACTGGTGACTGGGAGCAGCCGCTGAGACCACATAACACCGGTCTTGAAAGACCTACACTGACTCCTAGTAGGTTTCCGAGCACAATTCAAAGTGTTGGCGCTGACCTTTAAAACCCTAAATGGCCTCGGCTCAGTATACCTGAAGAAGCATCTCCACCCCCATCGTTCTGCCCGGACACTGAGATCCAGTGCCAAGGGCCTTCTGGTGGTTCCCTCACTGTGAGAAGCCAAGTTACAGAGGGCCTTCTCGGTAGTGGCACCCACCCTGTGGAATGCTCTCCCACCAGATGTCAAAGAGAAAAATAACTACCAAACTTTTAGAAGACATCTGAAGGCAGCCCTGTGTAGGGAAGCTTTTAATGTTTAATAGGTTATTGTATTTTAGTGTTTTGTTGGAAGCTGCCCAGAGTGGCTGGGGAAACCCAGCCAGATGGGCGGGGTATAAATATAATAATAATAATAATAATAATAATAATAATAATGATAATAAATAATAAAATAAAAATAATAATAATAATAAAAATAAAAATAATAAAAATAATAACAACAACATCTAGTATCAAGCGGCAGAGGAAACAACCCCACAGCAGGTTGCCAGGAATGGATAAGACAAGGAAAAGTCCTTACCATCTGATTTTTATTCAATATTTACAGAGAGAGGCTTGGAACTCAGCCTCTTGGAGTAATGGCGGTGTCCTGAGTGACTCTCCACCCCCTTTTTCTCCCACTTCCTCATTCATCATCTCCTCTATGGGTGGTGCTGAGGGCCCTTTGCTTCTGAGCTCTTAGCTCTCCTACTTTCAAGGCTCGCCGGGTTCTGGGAGGGGAGGGTCTGGAATGCTTTCTAAGGACACTGTGTCCATCAGCTGTTGTCCTCCTGGTGGTTCCTCTTCCTCATCTCCCTTTATTTCCCAGCTCCCCCCCCATCTGCCTCTGAGCTGTGACCTCCCTCAAACCCCTGTTGTAATTCTGAAATGTCTTCTTCTTCTCTGGAAGGGTCAGGCCGGGGAGGCGGTCTTCACCATTCCTCCTCTGCCCAGTCCCTGACATCTAGTCCAAATTCTTGCAATGCAGGAATCCACAGCGAAAGAATCGCTGACAGGCAGCTATCCAGTCTCTGCTGAAAAACCTCTGATGAAGTCCACCTTCCAAGACTGCCTGATTTTCTGACTGCTGTATGGAAAAGCACATGAATGTGACCTTGGAAGACTTTGTAAGTAAAGCATTTTTAACTTACAAAATGTGTGGTCTCTTTCTATGCTAAGAGAGAAGAGAGGGACTTTGGAAACAACTTAGGAGGGAAAATTTTGTGCTGGAGTTCTCTCACAAAAGAGTACTTGCCCCAAACCTGGATCTTAGGCATCCTGGAATTCTCTTTTTCATATATACCTATATTTTCCTCTTCAACCCCCATCAGATTTCTGGTGCATGAGAGGCTACCCCAGTAGCCAGGCTCTCCTGATACTCTTAAGTTGTTTCAGTCTACATTAAGCGAGCTGAAATCTCTCCGCTCTAAGAATCCCTCCCTGTTTCTCAACTGCTCCTCACTTCTTCTTGCTCACCTTGAGAGGTCCTTCATCTGCAAATTCCACGCTGTCATTGCTGCCTGAGGAGAAAGGGGCTTCCAGACTTGAAGGCTCTGCCACCCTGGCCGCTAACTTGCATAAAATCAGTAAGGCCTGCGAAGGGTCTTTGCCTAGGGACCTCCAGAGTTCACCCGTTTCACTGCAATGCAACAACACACAAGTTGAAGAGGATTTGGTTTTCCCACAAGCACCGCTCACTTAAACCCAGTGGGTCCAATTTGTGGGCTGAAATGCAGATGCAGTCTCCCCCCAAATGTACAAAAGCCTCAGCTTAATGCTGGCATGCACCTGTCCATCGGGAGGCGGCGGCAGAATAGGCTCTCGATCACGGTGTCCAGGTGAAAATGGGAGACAGCAGCCACAGCTTCCACAAGGACCTGCCGCAGATCTTCCTGTTTGATGGTGGGCAAGCGGCTGTAGAAAATGTCCAGGATCTCTGAAACCTGACAGGAGCAATTCAGGTGCATGCATTACTATCAGCAGTCCCACTCATATGAGTCAATTGCATTCTAGAAATTCCAAATACCTTCTTAGAAATTTAACGCTACTCTGCTTTCTTTGAACAAAGGAGCATAAGAACCTGCTTTGTCCTGAGCCAGGCCACCAGGCCTGCTGGCTCTCTATCATACTCACAATGGCTCTCCAGGGTTTCAGAGAGAGGCATTTCCCCAGCCCTATATTTCTACTGGGACGCGGGTGGCGCTGTGGGTAAAAGCCTCAGCGCCTAGGGCTTGCCGATCGAAAGGTCGGCAGTTCGAATCCCCGCGGCGGGGTGCGCTCCCGTTGTTCGGTCCCAGTGCCTGCCAACCTAGCAGTTCGAAAGCACTCCCGGGTGCAAGTAGATAAATAGGGACCGCTTACTGGCGGGAAGGTAAACAGCGTGACCCGGAAGTGTCTCTGGACAGCGCTGGCCCCCGGCCTCTTGAGTGAGATGGGCGCACAACCCTAGAGTCTGTCAAGACTGGCCCGTACGGGCAGGGGTACCTTTACCTTTTACTTATATTTCTATACGGTCTTATACAGCCCAAGGTAGTGGGTTGGTCCAAGGAATGGGCACACCACGAACAGATTAACATTGCAATCTTATTTGGGGGAAAGGCTGTAGCTTAATGGAAGAGTACCTGCTTTGTTTTTGAAGAAGTAAAACCAAGTTCAGCCGTACCTTGGTGTCATGGTATTGCCGGAGAATGCAGGGGAGGAGGAGGAGAGACAAGCGGAGGAAGGGGGGGCAGGAAGTGCCAGTGCAGGAAAGGAGGGGAAGTCAGGAGGAGGGAAGGCTCTCAGATGCTGGAGCAGAGCCTCAACCCCGCACAGGAAGCTCTGGCACTGACAGTGATGCAGTGTCGGTTCCTTCTGCTCAGGAAAGGAGAGGGTTAAAGCGCAGGGGGCAGAGACATCACTTGAGAATGCCTCGCCTCTTCTGCTGGAAAAGGGGCGGACGTAAGTCACTTCGGGAATTTGACTCACAGGATTCGGACGCATGATTATGTGTGCTGCTTGTACATATGTAAAATAAAGGATGTATATATGTACCTCTGACGGAGCAGAAGCATTTCTTGCGGAGAGTATTCCCAAGCCATCACACTGGTTGTCGAACGCTTTGGAACTCGTACGTTTTGGCTCCCGAACAATCAAAAACCGGAAGTGAGTGTTTTTCAATGATTTTTGGAAGACGAACATCCGGCGTGGTTTCTGTGGCTTCCAGTTGGCTGCAGGAGCCACGCTTTGGCTTCTGAATGTTTTGGAAGTCGAATGGACTTCCGGAACCAATTCCGTTCGAAAACCAAGGTACAACTGTACTTCATTCAGGACCCAGTGGTGCTCTGCTGTGCTAAGCTGGTTGGGTCAAAATTTAATTTCGGTTTATGTTCATTGGTTGCTCGAAAACAAGGGTAAGGAACTTCAGCCATGGGGGCCACATGCACCCCCAAGCCTCTCTACCTGGCCACCAGGGCTCTCTTTGGCCACACCCCCTTCTACAAGGCCACACCCCTCCCTGGCCCTGCTGTGTGTCCTCTGCAAGAGCTTTTACTTGGCTGGATCTTTGGAGTGATGGGTACATGTAGGAAGAGCATCCTTTTGCATGGGCAGAATGTGCGAAGGTGAGAGTCACACCCATCACTCAGCCAACTTGCCCATCCAGCCCCACCCACAACTGGCATGTACCCCCCCCCCCGAAGGACTATGAAACACGATCCCTGCCTCTGCTCAATGTTAGGATATTTCCGTTCCACCTTAAAAGGGAGAAGGCTTTTGTGAGTCACAGAGTCTGCGTATTTCCTGTTGCACAGGATGTTTCTGTTGTGTCGTTGCTTTCGTTTCCTTCTTCGTGCCTGAAAGCTGAAGCAGGCGGTCATGTCTTTTCTTTGTTCTGACCAACGTTGAATAAACTGTAAATATGCTCTCCTGCTGTGCATCTTTTGCTGTGTGAAGTCTGCTGACAGAGTGTGCACCAGCCTAAGAATGTGGCAATCTATTTCTGAGGCTTCGTGTTGCTAATTGCTGATACTGCGTGTCTACGGGAGATCGATGGATTGTCCGGCAGCCGGCTTGGGGGCTATGATGAACTGTGTCTCCCTGGCAGTATCCCAACACTCAAAAGCTAAAGCCAACCTTCCACACCAGCCAAAGCCTGCTCCAACAACCAATTGTAGATTGGTGCCTTTGGAGACCTGTCTGACACATGTCAAACAAAGCTTATAAAAGCTATCCCCCCCCATGGTGGCAAGTAGTCACCTGGGCTCCCATAGCACTTCCAGAGTCCCAAAGGATGGTTAGCAGCCAGCGGCCAGCAGAAATGGCACACATTTCATTTCCGGACACCAGGTCTTCCAGGATAACCTCGATGAAATCCAGGGCTTGATCTGGTGGGAAATGCACGCTGACCACCTGTGAAAACGCCAAAAGTAAAGGTTTGTGAAGCTATGATCACAATAACAATTGCACTGAAATGCAACTGTGGTTCATTCTGACCATAGAGAGGGAAATCGTCAAAGAAATGGAAGTGGCATGTACTCCCTCGAAGGTGGTGGGTTTTCCTTTGCTGGAGATTTTAAAACAGAGCTTGGATGGAAGTCTGTTGCGGATTCTTCATCTCTGATTCCTGCATTTCTGGGGGTTGGACTAAATAATAACAATTAAAATAATAATAATAATTTGTATTTATACCCTGCCCTCCCCAGCCAAGACCGGGCTCAAGGCGGCTAATAACCGATATAAAAACAATTGATTGAAATACAAGTTAAAAACAAGATTAAAATACAACATTAAAACATTAAAATGCAGCCTCAATTTCAGTAGAAACTCAAATCATTTTTTTTTGGGGGGGGGGATGAAAACGTCAAGTCTTCACCAAGGCTAACTATCCAGACTGGTCCTACATGGGCCAGAAAAAAGCCAGGGAAGTCCCCAAATAGGAGTTCCATCACAGGAGGAGAAAGGAAAAAAGAAAGAGGGGGAGAGAATTAAATTGATTCCAAGCTAAAGTCCAGGCGGAACAACTCTGTCTTGCAGGCCCTGCGGAAAGAAATCAGATCCCGCAGGGCCCTGGTCTCATGAGGCAGAGCGTTCCACCAGGCTGGAGCCTATGCTGAAAAGGCCCTAGCTCTGGTTGATGCTAATCTGACTTCCTTAGGGCCTGGGACCTCGAGGGTGTTGCTATTTATGGACCTTAAGATGACCCTTGGGGTCCCTTCCAACTATGTAGTTCTGTGATTTAATGAAATCTGGTCCACAGATGTTAGCCAAAGGATTGGGAAATTCACCTTGGCCATTCTGCACGAAGCTTCGAATAGAGCGCTGGGGACCTCAGCTTTCAGGTCACAACAGGCAGACAGCATTTCCTCCTCCTCCTCTGCTGTGACTTTTGTCTGAGCTGGCAAGGGGGGGAGAGAATAGTGATGGATCTATTTCCTGACCAGTTCATTTCTGGCTGGATAGATTTTGCTGAAAGGAGGCGTTGCTATGATTCTATGGTTTTAGTCTCACCTTGTATGTGCAAAAGGCAACTAATGCACTGGGCAGCCCACTGCCGGCATCTGAAGGAGCCATCACAGGTGTAGGGGGCAAGGAACGCAACCAGCGACCCAAATTGCTGAAAATTTTCTCCATCCTACAGGAAAAGAAAGTTTTTTTAAAAATCTGTTCATTTGTGCCTGCCTGATCTTTATGACCTGTGTGTGTGTGTTAGGATTCTTTCCCCGTGTTGCAGTCATGGGATTGTTTCTATCACATGACAGTGTGTTTTCATTCCACATTGTGGGAAGTGAAGGAGACCGTATGTTTTTATTACTGTGTTGTAGGACATTTGTCCCTTTGTTCTTCCTCTTTGCTATCTGATGCTGAAGAGGAAGGAGCTGAGTCAAGATGCTCCTAGTGTGTACCGTATTTTTCGCTCTATAAGACGCACGCAACCATAAGTCGCACCTAGTTTTTAGGGGAGGAAAACAAGAAGTAAGAAGCCTCCTGAGCGAAGAGGGAGCGCTCCTCCCCCTTCGCTCAGGAGGCTTTATGGGGCTATCCCTGAAGCCAGGAGAGCAAGCGGGATCGGTGCACACTGATCCCTGTTGCCCTCCTGGCTTCAGCGAAAGCAAGCCTCCTGGCTTTCCCCCGACCTCCCGCAAGAGCCGCGTGCTCTTTAAAGCGAGCATGGCTCTTGGGGGCTTTTCTGGGAGGTGGGCAAAGGGACAGAGCCGCATGCTCTGTCCCTTCACCCACCTCCCGCAAAAGCCAGGGATAGCTGCACAAAGCCTCTGCAGGGCATAAAGACTCCCCACTGCTCTGTGGAGGCTTCACACGGCTAAGCCAAAAGCTAGAACAGTGAGAGGGAGCGCTGCGCAGCGCTTCCTCTTGCTGTTCTGGCTTCTGGGAGAGCCCACAAAGCCTGCATTTAGGAGGGGGAAAGTGCGTCTTATAGAGTGGAAAATACGGTATATGTAAATAAACGTAGTTTAGCCAAAAAGCTGTGCTACTGAGTCTGAACGCTGACTGCCTATACTCTGCTGATCCGAAGTGTGTTGATGCCTCTTGGTATCAGTCGCTGTGATGTTTGGGCTGGAAAAAGCTTTTGAAGCTCCCGAACGTCTGACCAGGTGGGAGAGAACATGTCAGTCGAGCATGTGTCTCTGTCAGACACCTACTCATGTGTAGGACCTCCTGACAGGGGCTCCTCCTTCCCCACCACTTGTGAGTGACCAGGGCTGGGGAGAAATCTGATTCTGATTGACTTTCAACAAGAAGCTACCTGATTTGCCCCTCTCGAACCAATGCGTGAACTTTCAAAAGTCACCCTGCTCTGAATTTTGCACTGAAATTCTCTGACCAAATAACGTGTACAAGCGTGAAAACGTTAGGGGGAAGTTTGTGCAAACATGGACATATCAGTGAAAGTAACAGGGAAAATGTATTATATATATTTTTTGGTGGGGGGTAAAAATCCTTGCAAAAATGTGTGCATTCAGAGCCGTTCGCAATTCATTTCTGCGAGCGTAAGTTTTAAGTCATTTTTAAGATTGCATTTTAATGGTGTTGCTTAGAAATAATAATAATAATAATAATAATAATAATAATAATTTTTATTTATACCCCACCCTCCCCAGCCAAGGCCGGGCTCAGGGCGGCTAACAAGCAATAATAAAAACAAGTTGAAAGACTGCAACTTAAAAACAAGATTAAAATACAACAATTAAAATATTGAAACATTAAAATATTAAAATGCAGCCTCATCACAGGAGGAGAAAGGAAAAAGAAAGAGGGGGAGGGAATCAAATTGGCTCCAAGCCAAAGGCCAGGCAGAACAAGTCTGTCTTACAGGCCCTGCGGAAAGAAGTCAGATCCTGCAGGGCCCTGGTCTCATGAGGCAGAGCGTTCCACCAGGCCGGAGCCAGTGTTGAAAAGGCCCTGGCTCTGGTTGAAGCTAATCTAACTTCCTTAGGGCCTGGGACCACTAGGGTGTTGCTATTTATGGACCTTGAGGCTCTCCGCGGGGCATACCGGGAGAGGCGGCCCCGTAGGTACGAGGATCCTGGGTCGTGAAGGGCTTTAAAGGTCAAAACCAGCACCTTGAACCTGACCCTGTACTCCACCGGGAGCCAGTACAGCTGGAAAAGCACTGGGTGAATATGCTCCCATGGCAGAGACCCCGTGAGGAGCCTTGCTGCAGCATTCTGCACCTGCTGAAGTTTCTGGGATAGTGGGCAGAGATGTGCAGACTGAGCAGCTGGCAAGAAGGTGAAGAGAAGGAAACTCACGGGGAGCTGAAAGTTCTCCTGGAAGGCAGCGAGGGTCTGGGAGCTTGCCTGCAGCGCTCTCTCCCTGCTACAGTCCGATACGGTGAACCAGGGGTCTATGAGCTGTTGGCGGAGCAGGAAGGCAAACACAACTGATATTAGAAAATCTATTTTTGTTAAATTCCTATCCTGCCCTTCATCTGACAGTCACAGGGCAGTTTGCAATATAAAAATACAGTGCCAATTTTGTCCACCACATTAGCTATGGCTATTCTCACACAGGGCCTTGCCACCGTGATGTTGTCGTTGGAATTCTACTCAATATCGATCCAGAGCAGATTCCAACGTATAGTTAGCAGAGTAAAAACTTAAACACGTTCCAGAGTTCCCCAAAAAATAGACCAGAGGCAATTGTATTTCATCCAGCAGAGCTTTACTGCTACTGAAGGCAAATGAGCATAATGGTCACAGATCCATTACATTCAGGGTTGGCGCTGTCCATAAGAAATCCAGTTGCAGCAGACTTAACTTAAACTTACAATAACTAATAATACAGTCATATCTCGTGTTGTGTCCGCTTCATGTTGCGTCTTTTCGCGTTACGTCCCGTGACAACCTGGAAGTACCGGAACGGGTTACTTCCGGGTTTTGCCACTCGTGCGTGCGTAGAAGTGCTAAATCATGCTTCCCGCTTGCGCAGAAGCGCCAAATTGCGCTGCACTCCTGCGCAGACACAGTGTTTCAAGTTGTGGGCATTTCACATGATGGACGGGCCTCTGGAGCATATCGCGTCCGTAACACGAGGTACCACTGTAAGTCTAAAACCTTAACGCTAAACATAGTATGTACAGAACACCACACCAGAAGGAAAAGAGATAGAAAGAGAAAGTGAAACCCAGGCTCCTTCTGGCCTTACTTTTATAGTCAGCATGACCTCGACAGAAAGAGATAAGAGAACCAGTTTAAACCAGCTGTACTCTGCTTCTCTGAAGAAATAACCCAAACATCATGAAGTTTCTTTCACACAGAGAAGCTTCCAGAACCCTCTTGAATTAAGCAGAATAGGAAAGATCTCTACACATCAGATCAAGACTTTCTGCACTAAGAAATGCAAACTGACAGGTGTATGAGTTGGTAGCTTAGCCGAAAGACGACTGCAATGTTCTCTAGGTGAGTCTCCCCTGGAAGACAGTCTGGAAGCTAAAATAAAAAAGGCAATTCATTCCTGAATGGATTTGGCAGAGCAGGGGCACCTGTGAAGGCAGGGAAGTCGTGGGGGAGGCCTTTTAAGCATCTCCAGCTGCCTGAAAAGGTCTCTAAATTGGTTGCCTAATCCAAACCAATGAACGCCAATAGAGAAAGTTTCTCCTGCGGCTCACCTGGAACATCTCGACCATCAGCTCAGGTGTTGGGCAGTCCTCTACGATGCTCGTCACGAGTTTCCTGAGGGCGTCCATGGAGCAAGAGTACAGGGACTGAAAGCACAATGCAAGTAGGGAGACTGGAGGGCCGAGCTAGACAGGACGTCTGGAGATCCATGACTGGATTAAAAATGCTCTAATAAGCAGCTGCAGAGGTCCAGTCGGGACATAGGACGCTGCCTTGCACTGACTCAGACACTGGGTCCATTTATCTCAGTATTGTTCAACTCCAAGGTTTCAGACAGGAGACATTCTTTCCCCCCAAATATTTTATCATTTTCACTTATTTCTGCAAGAAGCAACCATCAGTCTTCAACAATTCCACCCAGCAGAAGCGCCAAATGGCTATATAATTTCGTTTAACGTTTAAGTCATTTCAGTTTTATCATTCCATAAGTCCTTGGAGGCCTATAACCAGTGTTTTTGGGGGGGTTTTTTAAAGGGGAAAATGTTGCCGGTACTCACCATGAAGTTGGTACAGTAAGTGGCACACTTTTATTTTTTAATTAAAAAAACAATCAAAGATAAAACGATTGCACACAGTCAAAGAATCATTTCCGAATACTCAAAGTGGATATGCTAATATCATCACAAATTTAACAAACACAAAAATAAGACATAACAATCTCCATTGCTTGAACTGTTGTCCACAGCTCAAAAGATATATTGTATCTGCAGCAGTGCTGGTCTGCAAGGTTTATACAAAAGCAGAAGGGGGGGGGAGAGAATAATAATATTTAAAATATGTTCTTCATGTGCTCCAAATTGTGCTGTGGGCCAGGAAAAGAGCACTGCCTATAACCATGTTCTAGCAATGTCACATGCGTAATATAACTATGCCAGGTTGATTGAAAAGCAGTGATTTTCTTGTCTGTGCGGCTGTTGTGGACAGGGCTTGTCAGTTGCCCATCAACATCATGTCCCAGAGTTGTGCAATCTCAAGTAGCGGTAGGTCTACACTGGTCAGTTCTAACGTTAGAAGTGCATTATAAAAATGTGACACCAGAGGGTGCTGTAGGGCAGCAATCTGTCGTCAAGGGGAAATTGCATTGTCATCTATTATTATGTGTGTGTTTTTACAGCGTTTTTTACAATCAGTGGAGATCCAGCCTAGGTCTGCATTCCTACTTGGAGGTGCTAGAGATTGAAACAGGAAAGAGTCTGGCTGCTGGATCAGACCGAAGAGAGCTGATTTAGTCCAACATTCTGTTCTCATAGTGGCCAGCTAGATGCCTCTTGGAAGTGTGCAAGCAGGACATGAGCAGAAGAGGATTTTCTGTTGGGATACTGCCAGGGAGACAAAGGCCGTCATGCCTCCACGTCGTCTCCTGGTCTCCCGTAGAACAGTATCAGTCAATTAGCGACATGGGCCTCAGAAATAGCTGTCCACATTCCAGGATTCATGCACGCCCTTTTCGCAGAGTTTCCACAACGGAAGATTCACCCAGGAGAGCAGCATATTTACAGCTTTATTCAGCGGTGGTCAGAACAAAGGAAAAACATGACTGCCTGCCTTAGTGTCGAGGCAACAGAGAGAAAACAAAAGCTATATACAAAACAGAAACTTCCTGTGAGCCAGAAGTATGCAGGCTTGTGACACACAACTGCCTGCTCCCTTTTTAAGGTGGAACGGAAATATCCTAACATTTTCCGCATCCTGTGGCTTCCAGCAACTAATGCATTTTCCCACATTCATTATACGCAGTATGCGAATTTTTGTGTGAATTCTCGGTTGAATAACTGAACCATGAAATTTGGAAGAAGAAGAAGAAGAGTTTGGATTTGATATCCCGCCTTTCACTCCCTTTAAGGAGTCTCAAAGTGGCTAACAATCTCCTTTCCCTTCCTCCCCCACAACAAACACTCTGTGAGGTGAGTGGGGCTGAGAGACTTCAAAGAAATGTGACTGGCCCAAGGTCACCCAGCAGCTGCATGTGGAGGAGCGGAGACGCGAACCCGGTTACCCAGATTACGTGACTACCGCTCTTAACCACTACACCACACTGGCTCTCAAGGTGGAGAGGTGAGAATGACTCTCTCTCTCTCTCTCTCTCTCTCTCTCTCTCTCTCTCTCTCGCAAACTTGTATTGAAATGTGAGCTAAATTGAACTCCCACCCAGTGCTGGATTTACATATAAGCTAAACAAGCTATAGCTCAGGGCCCCACTCTCTTGCCCCCCCCCAAAAAAAAAATCAAAGGAAAAAAAACACTGGATACATTTCTAAAATATAAGATAAAAAAACAAATAAAATAAAACCTACATACAGCAACAGTGTTTTGTGTTGTGTAGGCTCCTATGGTGTAAGTCATGGGCCCCACCTGCTAGCCTGCTCCCTAAAATATCACTAGTTTGCTCCTTTCTATATATAGGGTGCCTACATTCTGCATGGACTGGTCGCATGGCAACATGTGCAAATGGCTTTAGATATCTGTTAGGTCCATAAATGACCATATAGCATATATTCAACACAAAAAAACAGCGACAATTTGTTGTTGACAAAGGACAGCTGGACGTGTCAAGGGCCCCATTACCTTCAGTAGCTTAAAGGTAAAGGGTAAAGGGACCTCTGACCATTAGGTCCAGTCGTGGCCGACTCTGGGGTTGTGGCGCTCATCTCACTTTACTGGACGAGGGAGCCGGCATACAGCTTCTGGGTCATGTGGCCAGCATGACTAAGCTGCTTCTGGCGAACCAGAGCAGCGCATGGAAACGCTGTTGATCTTCCCACCGGAGCGGTACCTGTTTATCTACATGCACTTTGATGTGCTTTCGAACTGCTAGGTTGGCAGGAGCAGGGACCGAACAATGGGAGCTCACCCCATCGCAGGGATTCGAACCGCTGACCTTCTGATCGTCAAGCCCTAGGCTCTGTGGTTTAACCCACAGCACCACCCGCGTCCCTTTTCAGTAGCTTAGGGCCTCATCAAACCTAAATCTGGCCCTGGTCCCGCTCTTTGGTATGATCCAGGCAGTGGCCAATCAGATGCATCCAGGAAACCCCCATGTGGATGAGAAAAGAGGATCTGGAAATAAACTTTTGCCACCTACCTCGGTCTTTAGAGCATCCCCCGCCGTCTCTTCCAGCTGCTCCAGGGAAGGAAGAGGAAACAAACTTTTGATGCTCTGATCGAGGAGATTGCGAATGTCCTCCATGGCCAAACATGGCTTCAGTTTGCTGGCAGGAGGAAGGTGGACCGAGAAGTCACACAGGAGAGACTTGTGGACATTTGAAGAATAGTAGGCTGGACCTCAGGTTGCTTATGGAACATTTGCTTCCACAAGAGGGAGCGATGGCTGTTACCAAAGTCTCTTAAACAACCCAGACAGAATCCCAAGAGGTCTAGATCAACTGAGAGAACGTGAGACTCTTTAATCTCGTGGGTCATGGGTTCGAATCCCACACTGAGCAAAAGATTCCTGCATTGCAAGGGGTTGGACTAGAAGACCCTTGTGGTCCCTTTATACTCTATGATTCTGTGAAAATAAATTATGTGGAAAACTGCTAAGAAACACACCTACCTCAGGAATGCCAGGGCAGTGATGGCTTGGGGACGAAGTGCAGTATTCAGAGCATCCAGTGGTTCCTCCTTGATGAAATCCTGTGAACACAAGACGGGCAAAGGGCAAAAGGAATTGAGGGTGGGGGAAAACCCTTGAGGGGCAGAGAGATTTATCCACTGACATGCCACGGCCTCTATGATTTCCAAAGGATACCAAGAAAGGATCGAGCACTCTTTGCTAAGCCAGTGATTACCGTATTTTTCGCTCCATAAGATGCACCTGACCATAAGACGCACCTAGTTTTTAGAGGAGGAAAACAAGGGAAAAAATATTCTGAATGAAACAGTGGATGTATGATTTTTGTGGTTCGTGCTGTGGCCACAGCCTCCTTTATCGCTAGAGTCCCTTATCTCCCTCCCCGATCGCTTGCCGATCAGCTGCTCAGCGGCTTTGTTTCAACAACCCCTTCCCTCTTTCTAAAAAAAAATTCACGATCTGCTTTTTGCCCCTGGGCAATTTGGCTCCAGGGACCACGCAATCGCTCTATAAGACACACAGACATTTCCCCTTACTTTTTAGGAGGAAAAAAGTGTGTCTTATGGAGCGAAAAATACGGTAACTTACCTGGAAGGCTAAGGGGCAATCAATCCATGAGGGAAGGATACAGAGGCGACATTTTAGGAGCACCTATGTGGATCTTGAACGGCCGCCGCTGCATTTAGCCACAAAAGTACATTTGCACTATGGGGCTGACCTCTGGGAAAATAACACCGCTCTGCAAATTTGGAGCAGGAGCTGGCTGTGCACAGTGCCGATTGGCTGGGAGCCCATGATGTCATCAGGAAACCTACCCCCTTACAATCCTATGAGAGGTTCTGCACCTTTGTTAAAAAGTTTCACGCAAAGGCCTCTCTGAGTGATGGGGGCTGCCACAATCTCAGGCAGAATGTCAGGTTCCTCACCAACAAGATGTCCAGGAGCTCCTTTTTGCAAGTTAAGGTGAAGTTCTGGAAGTCCTGGGTCTCGCAGATAGCCTGGCAGATATCTTTTGCGCTCTCAACAAAGGCCAGCTTGAGATTGGAGTCCTGCGTTGCCAAAAGAAAACATGCAAAAAACCCCCAAACTATTATATTAGGAAACATTGCTCCGAAGAAACGGATATAGTATGCAAAAATGTTTGTATATGGAGGAATTTTCAATAAAATTTGGGTGAATTTGCACAAAAGGGAGAAAGCTCTAGTGCTGCTTTTAAGTTTTCCATTGGGGGCAGCTGGTTGGCCACAGTGAGAATGGGGTGTTGGGCTAGGTGGCGAGGGCAGCGCTGTGGTCTAAAACACTGAGCCTCTTGGGCTTGCCGATCAGAAGGTTGGTGGTTCGAATCCCCATGATGGGCTGAGCTTCCGTTGCTCGGTCCCAGCTCCTGCCAACCTAGCAGTTCAAAGCACGCCAGTGCAAGTAGATAAATAGGTACCGCTGTGGTGGGAAGGTAAACAGCGTTTCCATGCGCTCTGGTTTCCATCACGGTGTCATATTGCACCAGAAGCAGTTTAGTCCTGCTGGCCACATGACCCAGAAAGATGTCTGTGGACAAATGCCAACTCCCTTGGCCTGAAAGCGAGATGAGCACCGCAACCCCAGTGTCATCTGCACTGACTAACGGTCAGGGGTACCTTTACCTTTACCTTTTCCCCAGATGCTTAAAAAGCTGGCATGAATTTTAACCTGTTCAGCAGTTTATTTTTGTCTTGATTTTATTGTTTCGTCGTTTTGTAAATTGCTTTGTTTGTTGTTGTTGTTTTAAGTCGTTTAGTCATGTCCGACTCATGTCGTTTAGTCGTGTCCGACTCTGTCGTCCCCTTCTCCTTGTGCCCTCCATCTTTCCCAACACCAGGGTCTTTTCCAGGGAGTCTTCTCTTCTCATGAGGTGGCCAAAGGATTGGAGCCTCAGCTTCAGGATCTGTCCTTCCAGTGAGCACTCAGGGCTGATTTCCTTCAGAATGGATAGGTTTGATCTTCTTGCAGTCCATGGGACTCTCCAGAGTCTCCTCCAGCACCATAATTCAAAAGCAATCAATTCTTCAGCAATCAGCCTTCTTTATGGTCCAGCTCTCACTTCCATACATCACTACTGGGAAAACCATAGCTTTAACTATACAGACCTTTGTTGGCAAGGTGATGTCCTCTGCTTTTCAAGATGCTGTCTAGGTTTGTTATTGCTTTTCTCCCAAGAAGCAGGTGTCTTTTAATTTCGTGGCTGCTGTCACCATCTGCAGTGATCATGGAGCCCAAGAAAGTAAAATCTCTCTATGCAGTTGCTGATTTCTTTTACTATCATGCAGTGTATACATTTTATGAAATTATAAATAAAGAATGATAATCGGTTGCAGGTTGTTTCTTTTCCTGCTACAGTTTGATGCGGAGATTCGCGAGGCGTCATTCCATCTCTTTGGCATCCTGGCTGACTTGCCGAAATTCAGATACAGAACTTTTTTGCCGAGCAAGCGAGGAAGAGTTTGGTGCCACTTCTGATTCACCAGTGGGACCCCAATCCCAAGGTGTCTGAGGTAAGACCCAGAGCCCCCTCCATCCCATCTGGGTCGCTGAATACCAAAGGAAAGTGATAGTTCCTTAGTCGTTGCCTCCTGGCAAAGTCACATTACGATGGCACAGGGTGAGACCCAAAGTAGAGGTTCCTGCATAATTTGATCTCTGAGAGATCTCTCATAATAACTGTCTAGACTGGCACCTCCTAGATCAGTGCAATCCTAAATGTGTCTACTCAGAAGTAAATCTGTCTTGCTCAATGTTTATGTTATAGGAATTCTGAGGTCTCTTATATATAAATCATATGTCCATAAATTTACAAGGCAAACACATACATACGTGTGTCTGAAATAGTACAGGAGAGCAATCCTGAAACCATTTTGACTCTCCCAAATTGACCTCAAATGTTTCTCTGCAAGGAGGAAGGAAATGGGAAAATTTCCTCCCCTTTGTGTCTTTGCTCACAAATCCTGTCTTAAGGGCGTATCTGTGTATGAATAAGGTGAGCCTGTAACCTGGATTCAGGAACTGAGTATTTACTATCACAAAAGAATGGCAAGGATGCCCAGGTAAAAGCAACCAGTGACCATTATCGGGTATCCTGGCAGACAGGTTTTCTGCTGTAGACTGCATGTATGATGTTTTGGGGGGTGGTCTTGAGCTACAGGGGAGGCAATTTTCAAATGTCTATATAAATGCTTGCACACCATTGTTCTAGGTTGCTCTCCTCCCTCCCTGCGTGGGGTGAGCGGGGGACCCTGTTGCAACAGTTTAATAAAGATCAGGCTTACTAGCTGCTTTGCTTCTCAATATTCTCTGGTTGACCTCTGTTCACAGCTGTCAACCGTCCCTTATTTGTCGGGAAACTCCCTTATCCCAGCGCCGTGTCCTGCTGCTGTCCCTTATTGATGGTCCCTTAAATTTCCCGGGTTTCAAAGGAAGCAGCTCCTCTCCCTCCTTCCTGCCGGCCAGGGAGTAGGGAGGCTCCAACTGTGTTGCTTGGCTGTGTTGCTCACCCAATAAGGAGTCTAAGAACGCCTGGGGGGTGGAGCTTGCATGCCTTGTGCCGATCAAATCGGCCGCGTTGCCTGGGGACTTGCCCTTGCTCAGCGCTTCCCAGGGGAGAGGTGATGGTGGTTTTCCTTGCTGCATCCCCTTTGCTGGGTTGCTGCGCTGTGGGAACCACCGCTTGAGGCTTCGTTTGGCTGCTGGCTGGGCTTTCTGCCTTTGGCTTGGAGGGGCTCAGAAGTCGAACATACCTGTGCTCTGAAATTCCCTTATTTTGGCTGCTGATCCCTTATTTTTGAGGCTGCTGGTCCCTTATTTTCAAATCTGTAAGTTGACAGTTATGCCTCTGTTATTTTTCTCCTTCCGATAGATACTTAAGGACTCTATCCGGGCTCTTAGATACCCCATAAGGGAAAGGGAGCACTATTTTTCTTACAACTGTAAATTATTATTATTTTCCTGCAGTGCATTCACGTCCTTGAAGGAGCCTATCGATAATTCTGAAACTGCACAGTTCTGCTTTCCCCACACACCCTCTCTCTTCTTTCTTGCAGGCCTGCAGAGCTGCATTTCTACACTCGGTGCCATTTTTGGCCAAAGGGAAGTTGAGGGTCCATCTGGAAGAACTGTACACCACCAGCAGTTTGGGGCTCCCGAATTTACGCATGCACATATGCAAGCAGCTGGTGAGAGACAAAGAGATCCCTGAATGAGGAGGCTATCAGTCAGGCACAGGCAAACTCGGCCCTCCAGATGTTTTGGGACTACAACTCCCATCAGTGGTCAGGGGTGATGGGAGTTGTAGTCCCAAAACATATGGAGGGCCAAGTTTGCCTAGGCCTGCTGGAAGTGCAGTGTCCTTGTGGCAGAGTGGCAGGAAGGCGGCAGTGATGGAGAAATCATAGAAGAGTTGCTGAGTTGGAAGGGACCCCGCGGGGTCATCTAGCTCAACCCCCCTGTGATGCATGAATCCTGCCCACAGCTGTCCCTGGGTAGGCTCGAACCCCCAACCGTATGGTTAAAAGCCTTAGCGCTGAGTTGTCACAGCTGTATTCTGCAACAGAGCCGCCGCGAGGGGACATGCTTCTCTGGTTCCTAAGAGTAGAGGAGGCCTCAAGAATTCAGAAACTGGCCACTCCACACCCAGTATTACAGAAGGGAGACAACGACAGGGAAGAGATGGGAAATGCCTGCTGATTTTGTTTGTGTATTTCATTTCTATAAAATGCACAGCACCGTGTTTGGTAATGAAACTCACAAAAGGGAAATTTGTCACAAAAGGCCCTACGGTGTGATCTATCTGCTTATGGCAAATTAAAATTAAGATTAAAATAATTAAAATTATTTATTATTTATACCCCACCCATCTAGCTGGGCTTCCCCAGCCACTCTGGGCAGCTTCCAACAAAATATTAAAATACCATAATACATCAAACATTAAAAGCTTCCCTAAACAGGAAATTAAAATTAAAATTAAAATTATTAAAATTAAAATTAAAATTAAAAAAAGAAGAGAGTCGTTTTGTTGTATCACTATTGCCTCTTTTTATTTTATTTATTTATTTATTTATTTTTGGCAGCCAAGGAAGCTAATGAGCATGTTGTGTTTGGTCAATGTCAGGTAAACAGCCACCCAGCGATGAGGAGGGAGCTCTTGAAAAAGACGAAAGCCTATTTCCAAAGCAGGTGGGAAGAGATCCAGATCAGAGCCCTTGAGTTGTCAGGTGAGAGGCCAGGCCGCCGGGGGCTGATGGGAGACGTAGTCTTCTCTGTCCGCCTGTGAACATTGTCAAATTTGCAGATGACACAACCGTGATTGGGCTCATCCCTAAAAGGGAGGGTGAAACGGATTATAGAGATGAGGTGGAGCGGTTGACAGAGTGGTGCAGAGCTAACAACTTGCTCATAAATACAAGGAAGACAAAGCAGCTTGTGGTGGACTTCAGGAGACAGAAGAGCAATGTCCAGCCACTTTTGATTGATGGGGTCTGTGTGGAGAGGGTAACAACGTTCAGATTTTTGGGCATTGAATTACAAGAGGATCTGTCCTGGAGTGTCAACACAAGGGGGCTTGTGAAGAAGGCGCAGCAGAGACTGTACTTTTTGAGAATTCTAAGGAAAAACCATCTTCCGCAGAAACTGCTGCTTGCTTCTATCACTGTGCCATTGAGAGCGTGCTCACTTATGGCTTATGTGTGTGGTACGGAAGCTGTACTACCCAGGACAGGATGGGGTTGTGCAGAGTTGTTAAGGCAGCAGAGAGCATTGTTGGCTGCCCACTCTCCACCTTAGAGCAGATTTATGCCACAAGGTGCCATAGGAAGGCACTGGACATAGTAAAAGATCCATCGCATCCTGGTCACTGTCTCTTCGAGCTCCTGCCGTCGGGACGGAGATACAGGACGATGAAGACAAGAACGAGCCGTCTTAAGAACAGCTTCTTCTCCAGAGCGATCTCGGCCCTGAATGGGAAGCCTGGACTTTGAAAGTCATCTAATCTTCCTTGCTGTACTATACTGTATTGTTTTAATTA